TAATGAGTTTTTGTTCGTTGGAGATGGTAATGCTAGGCTTCTATATAAGAGATTTGAACAATAAACATGTCGTCTTGTTCTCTGAGCTAGTCAGTTACGTAAATTCCATGCGTGGCTAAAACCTATCTGCTGCTGTCAAATCCAAGCTTGACACTCGCTTGGAACGTGCTTAGAGTACATCCTGCACATCCGCGATCCCATCACCCTGCTCAGAAGCATCACCCTCATCAGCCTCCATTTCGTCTTCGTCCGCAGTGTCCTTCACCGGCCGTGGTTTCTTCCACCCCAGCATAAGGTCATTTGCAAGAACCGTGTAGATGGTGCCGTAGACGTTGAAGGTCTCTTCAAAGTAATCAAGCCCACAGTTCATCCTCCACACCGGTGTCATCACCTTCATACCCGGATAACAGAGTTGCAAAAGAGGTTGCTCCACATAGAAACTGAAAATGGTTGGGATCATGGCTTGCTGCCGCTGTTCCGGGGTCATATCACATGCCGGCCTTGCTGGGTCCCAGTAGGATATCGCGGTGATGCGGCCAACAGGAACGAGATCGGGGGCGTGCATTTTGTAGAAGTCAAGGACAGTATCGTTCGGAGGATGGATAACCATAATCTCAAAGCCGTGGATATCATCTACACGTTTGGATATTAATTCATCTGTGTGAGCTAAATCCCGGAAGTCAATGGCCAGTTGATCTGTTCCCGCACCAGCGAGGGCAAATTTCACGACCTTGCGCGCCACATCTCTAGTCATGGGAGGACCGTCCGCCCACGAGCGTTCTTCGTCGTCTTCCTCAGTGTAACAATCATAGAGGTGGCCTCCGAAGAGCGTAGAACAGGCTTTGTTGAAATGGCCGGGCCCTTTGACCATGAACTGCTGATTCTTCCAAAGCTCCGTAGCGGCGATGTCACACGACTTCCTGGCCTGTTCAATGTTGTCCTTGTACTCTGGGCAGACCTCATGATACAGTAGGTAGGACAAAAAGTTTCGAATGGTGACCGTACCCAGCTTGACCATGTCTTCGGTTTCGGGGTTGAAGTAGGATGGGAAGTAGGAGGTCCTGTTCGCTGTCAGCGGCAACTTACTTTGAGTTAGGCCAGTGCTTACAGATAGCCACGAACCACCGCATCAAAGTCGATGGTGAGGTTTGCTGTGTCTCTTGGGATGCTGGTCTGCGTTCTAGCCTGAAGGATCTGCTCGCTGTCGAGGTCCTGGAGGTCGTTTTGATCGGAGCCTGCGAACATTCTCGGAGAGACGTCCACACCCCCATAGGCCAAGTATTTTAGGAATATATCCCTGCGGAAATTCTCGAGGCGGCGGTTGTTCTGGTAGCGCTGCAAGGCATCTTCAATCCGACTATCACAGATCAGCATCACGAGTGTTCCGTCAGCATGAAAGGCTTACTGAATGATGGGTCGAGACCTGTGACGTACAATTAGCCGAAAGTGAACTGAGAGACATGGTATAGTTACATACGGGTTGTATATCACCTGCTCAGTCTCATACTGAGCTGGTGTCATGGGAGCATCGACGTAGTATTCCTCAAAGCCAGTGGGCTTGCCCTGTTACAGTCAGCTCAGTCCTCGGACGTGAGTTCTCACAGACAAACCAGGCCACGCTTGCTCCTGGACTTTTTGCTTTTCTTTTTCTTTTTCTTGAGCTTGATGATATTGTCGAAGAATCCCGGAACTTCTTGTTCCCCGATGCTATCGGCCTGCGCCTGCGTGGAGACTGAATCGGTGGATTCGAGGTTCAGGGTGTGAGCCGTGTCCGAGGCCAACTGAGCTTGAGCATCTTCTGCCTGTTTCAGTGAGTCCGAGGTAGAAAGATGAGTAGAAGACGAAGTTTCTTCCTTGTTTTCCATTTCGAATCTTCGAGTAGGAAGGTGTTAAGGTAGTTTGCTAAGAGGAAACTAGAAGCTATGAGATGAGAAGACGAGAAGAGACGAAACGGGCGGAAGAAAAGAACGAGGGTAAATGATGGACTTGAAGAGAATGAGAATCATGAGGGAGGAGAAGAGTTGCTGGCAGTGATTTGGCAGTGAAGGAAAGGGCAGAGCGTGGCTCCCTCATGATACCGTCAGTGAATGGGTTGTTGTCCATGCAGGTTGCCTCGGGCTGTTTGTAGACTGGCAGTTCCGGACATTTCTGATGAATCTACAGGCCGAGACAAGATACAACCCCAATAAATACTTGTTTGTTTTGTAGCAAAGTAAGATGAAAGTAGTATGAAAGTATTATGATGAGTTTTGATACAATGATTGTATCCAAGACAAGAACAAGTGTGTGCGCTATACAAAATACCTTAAGACAAGTAGTAACTTACCTCCTACTCTCTATAGTACAGTACATCGCCGGCACATTGCAGAAGTATACAGATAGTCAGTTGCCATGTGATGCTTGAGAAACAGTATCAAGACAAATGCAGCCATTAGAATCGACACAATATCAGGCAGTCGAGAGTTGTAGACACCCGAAAGAGTTGAGCGGCAGACGGCAGACCATTCAGAAGTATAGAAAGCAGGCGAGATTAACTTATTCTTGCCTTGTGCCACCAGATCCAGTCAGCATAAGAGACGATCTTATGCTAAAGCGCATCGTATCAGCCAGGCTGTGAAATTCCAGGCTGACTTTCTGCTTTCGTAGTGAAATACCCCCGTGATGTGGATTTTTAATAGGATTAAATGATGATCGATGCCCCTCAGCCTTGTTTGGGGGTTCAGATCGGCTTCCCCGACATTTTTCCATTTACTTCTCTCATTATTATTGACAGTGCCAACCCAGAACAAAAGCCAACCAACCCGCCTGTTGTGGCTTGTCTCTCCTTTCCTTTCCCCCACCCCCTGCTAGGCATTTGTTTGCTTCTAACAGGAATATATTCCTTTTCCCTCCTTGACCCACTTTTGGAGGGTTTCCCTCTCCTTCTCATCTTCTCCCAACCCTCCGACCCTGCAACTTCCCGCCTGCTGAATCTCCGTCCCTTTCCGTGACTCATGCGGAATGCCGTCTAAACTCCATCGGTCTCTGTTGGACAGTGATTGACCCCCCTATTATTGTGCTCTAAATCCCCTTCATCATGCAATCATCTTCGCGATCAGAGAGCGCGATGGCCGCAAAGCTGGACCACGACAGTTTCGTGGCTTTCGACCATGCCGCCGCCGGACAGTGAGTGTGCCGCAACAAATTTCCCTGTCGCATCCCTCTCCCTTGTCGCAACCAACATAACACGATATCGCTTCAACTCTGCAACCTAAATCCTTGCCGCTCTTAGAATTGAAGCTTCGGCGAACTTACTGACAAGAAACCCTGCTGTAGCGAAGGCGTCCAGTGTACCGTATCCGGCACCTTCATCGCAAAGCCCTGCACCGCTCAAGAAGTCGCGTTCTACGAATCCAGCGCCCTACACCCGGCATTCCAAGAATTTCTGCCCACATATATCGGCACGTTAACTTCCGCGAATGACCAGCAGCCTCGGGCCCTCGCCGCGGCCCAGCAAGCCGGCGCCATCATGCTGCCCGGCACGGAATATTCTTCCGCGTCGGATACCCCTACGGCTACCGTCGCATCCCAAGCCCAAGCGGCCGTAGCGACAGCGACCCCCATAGTGACGGCAGCCTCCGAAACGGCCAGCTCAAGCAGCCCGACAGCAGCAGCAGCGGAATCGTCGTGGGTTCCCTCCAACGGAAAGAAACTCGAGACGGGGATCTCGATCGTGCTGGAGAACGTGGCTGCGGGGTTTAAACGACCCAATGTGTTGGACGTGAAGCTGGGTGCGCGGCTTTGGGCGGACGATGCGCCGCCCTTGAAGCGCGCGAAGCTGGACGCGGTGTCCAAGGAAACAACGAGTTCCACGCTGGGGTTTCGCATCGCGGGGATGAAAGTCTGGACGGGCGTGAGGGGGGAGACCGACGAAGGGAGCCGGACCGACCCCTATGCGACGAAGTACGAGGGCGCCGAGGGCGCCAAGGGGCAGGTCATCGAGGCGGACGGCTACAAGCGCTACGATAAATGGTACGGCCGCTCGCTCACGGCGAGCAACATCAAGGACGGGTTCCGGGCGTTCCTCGCTGGGGCCAAAGCCGGGGCTGTGGATCGGACCCAGCTGGTCGCGCGACGGTTAGCTGGGGAATTGAAACAGGTGCAGGAGGTTCTGGAGTCCGAGGAAAGTCGCATGTACTCGTCGAGTGTGCTGATTGTCTACGAGGGTGATCCGGACGCCATGGAGAAGGCGCTGGAAGAGGAGCAGAAACCCCAGTCGAAGCAAGAAGAGGAAGATGACGACGAAGAGGAGGACGAGAACGTCGAGTTTGAGATCTCCGAGGGGTCTTTCCAAGTGGTTGATATACCCCTTGGCCAAGGCAGCGTCTCTCACCAGGCTATCAATATCAACCTCGGCCCCGAAGTCGCGGAGCTGGGGGAGCTGGATCTCGACGAGGACGAAGAGGACCCCCCTAAAGTGCATGACCTGCGGCTGATCGACTTTGCGCATGCGAGCTGGACCCCTGGCCAGGGGCCGGACCAGAACGTCTTGAACGGAATCAGGAGCTTGACTCGGATACTGGAGGAACTCGCCTTGGAATAATTGTAAGAGTAGTTGCAGTTTGAAAACCACTACAGTCGCTGGCGGCTTAGGAGTAGCACCATTTCCCACCATACAACACCCGAGCATTTAGCATCATCAAAATGGAACCCATCGCAGATCCAAAACTACACCCAAGAAATAAAACAAATATGAAACATCACTCTGCTAAAACCCCAGCAGAAAGTAGAATAGCGAAACTCACCTGTCCCGCCACATACTTATAGATAGATAGATGGCGGGCGGAAGCCCAAGCAAGATCTTACATAATCACCTCCGAGCGCAGACCTCCTCCGCCGGCCGACCGATTTGCAACTATCCAAAGCCCGCCCAGCCCGCCCGCTCGTCGCCTCCAACAATTTTCCCCTTCTCGCAACCAGGAGCAAACCACCTACACCACAGAAGGTTCTTTTCTCTCAAGATGTTCCCCACGCGAGCCCTCCTCAGCCGCTCCGTCTGGAAAGGTCAGTCACTCCTCCATTTGCCCTCCATCCAGTATACTCAACCCTGAATCCAGCTCACTAACACTCCCATCAAACAGGCCCGAACATCGTCCCGTAGGTTCTCCTCCCAAAACCCAAGCTTAAAACCCAAGCCCACACTCCATGGCATGCGGTTTAAGCAGACTGCTACCGCCGTCAAACACCCGCTCCCACCAACCCCCCCAAATCCCAAACCCAACAGCTAAACCTCGGGCAAAATCTAATCGATGAATATAGCCTCCCCCTCCCGCGCAAACTGCCCGCTCCCCCGGGGACGCCGCCGATCCGCACGCAGAAGCGCGCCGCGACCATCCTGCCGAACTTCGTGGGGCTGAAGTTCTCGATCCACAACGGCAAGACCTACCACGACGTGCTGATTACCGAGGAGATGGTGGGCCGGAAGCTGGGGGAGTTCGTGCCGTATGTTCCCCCTCCTCCTTTCTTATTGTGTTCTGTTTGGCTGGAGGTTGGTTTGGACGGGTTCGAGGGGGGAGAAGATGAGGGTGAGGGTGCTGGGTGGAATGGAGCAAGGATAACGATTTACGAAAGGAGATTGCGCATGCGTGCTAACCGTTGGGGCTGGGGTTTAGGACTCGCAAGCGTTTCACCTACAAGATGTCCAAGAACAAATAGATCTTGTCTCTTTCCGGGGGCATGGGGGCATGGGGCATGGGGCATGTCTGGGGTTGTCTGGGGTTGTCTGTCGATACCTTTATTCTTCTTATGGTTGGGCTTTTTGCGAACTTGCGCAGCTTGGAATCTCTCGTCTTTCGCGAGTGGGAGATGGGCTCTGTGCAAGTTGAAACTGAAGTTGCATTCTAGTTTGTGTTTGGCGTTTTTTTTTCTCTCTTTGTGCTTGATATGCTGGAGAAAGGTCTCGGTAAAAGAGATAGAGATGAAAGAGGGATGGCTATGTATATTATGTATTATTTATCTATCCATGACAAATGAGGATTCAAGGTCCCAGAGTCTGCTGCTAAAAGAGGATCGATCGTAAGGGTATTATTTGGCATTGCATATACATGTAGAATTGAAACCGCCCCAGAAAAAACACCCATACTCCGATTTGTGCAGGCCCAAGGCCCAGCATGCAGGATATCTATCGTTCAGGAAACACACCACCCCCTCACGCCGCAATATACGCCATCAAACAGACAACCCAGCGTCCCCCGACCAAGGAGGACTGCAAGAAGAGAAAAACAAGCATGGCATCAACTCAGCAACCCAGCCAGTCTTGCCCCTCAAAAGAGAAGGAAGAAAACTTCATATCAAACGGAGCCCCCGTAGGAAGATCTCCTCACCGACCAAACCCGCTTTTAGTATAAGAGCCCACTGTTCCACGCCTATCGTCAACCGACAATCATCAAGCCCCGTTCACCGATAGAACTCCCCCCTCTTAACGCTAACCCCATACTCCGCAACCGCCATGCCCAAATCCTCCATGGTGAGCACCGTCCGACCTTGACCCGAACCTCCGGACCCTCCACCGCCGAATCCGGGCCTCTGGATGCCCAGATGTGTGCCCGCCTTCCCCTTGCCTGCCTCTCCACCCGACGGGCCCGTCGCCGCGCCTGTCGACCCGACACCCCCGGCACCACCGGGCATGCCCAACCCCGAGGCGGCGTTCAAACTGCCCATCGGGTTGTTGGCGGAGGAGCTGTTGGACGCGCGGATGCGAGCGTACTGGTACGAGTCCGCCGCGATATCGGCGATGAACTTCTGGGTGGCGAGGGCGAGGAGGCGCGCGAGGTGCGGCGGGGTCTGGTTGGGGCCGTTGCCGGGGGGTGGGAGGCCCGCCAGCGTGAGGTAGTGTGCTGTTACGGCGTCGGGAATCTAATGATTTGATGTCACTGTTAGAGAGGGACACATTTGTAAATGGATGGATGGTATGGAATAGTTAGTGACCGGCGGGGTCCGGGGTGAACGGAGGACGTTGGACAGTGGGAGAAAAGCGAGGGGAGCAGCCGGGTAGATAACGAAAACTTACAATAGGTGCATATTCATCCATCTTCCCTAGAAACTCCCGGAGACTGGTCTCCTTCTTAGACGGCGCGGCGGCGGCGGCGAGTGCGTCCACGGAGGTCGGCGCGGGAACCGGATTGCCCACATCGTCGGCGCCGCTGGTCGCAGTCGCGTTGGCGTTGGCGTTAGCGTTGGTGCTGGGCGCGTTGGTCATGTCGACGTCTTCTTGCTCAGTTGGAGCATCCAAGACCTTATTGGCGTTGCTATCGGCGACGTCGGGTTCTTGTTTGGGCACTACCGTGCCGGGTGAGGTGACAGGGGGTTGGCTGGATGGAGGAGGGACGGGCGTAGAGGACGAAGCTGCAGTCGATGATGATGTTTGAGGAGGAGGAGGAGGCTGCGATGAAGGCGGAACAGCAGGTTGTGATAACGATGATTCGGCCATGGTTGGGAGTGGCTAATGGGGAAGCGCAAGGGAGTCCAATGGGTGAGAGGGGAAGGCGTCGGCGGTGAATGCAAGGTCAGCAGTATTGAAGCAATTTATACAGGTTCAAGTATAATCCCTGCAATTGTGTTATCGCAGCGCCCGATTGGGATTGAAGGTGATACGGGGATTTCCTGGGGGGAGTGAATGAATAGGAAAGTGACCTGGGATAGAATTGAATTATCAACTGCCGCGGTGGTTGGGGCGGAGGAGGAGCAGAGCATGGCCTGTCTCTCTTGGCCGCGTTCGGCCCGACTGCTGCGAACTAGTTACGTACTTGCTACAGGACAGCCAACTGGCAAGCATTAGCTAGACACTTTCATTATCAATAAAGACTTATTTGTTCTCATTTAGTATTGTTCAGTGAAAAGGAAAAAAGGAAAAAAAAAAGACACAAAGAAAGTAAGTAAATGAGAAAACATGATTATTCAGTTATTGTTGTACAATCCGCAAGATACTCCTACAGCTTCGTGCACCATTTGCACCATATGCATCATCCCTTATACAGTCCCACCAAAGAATCACAGAAATAGACAGTCGTAGACAGTGAAACCGCTCAGAATCCCCGGCGAAGAAGAGAAAAGAAAGAACCACAAGAAATAATACAACTCGATCAAGGGAGGAAAGAAGCACGATCGAGAAGTGAAGTTAATTGGTGTTTGAGCATGAACCTCGATCTCATCACTGACCCAAATGCATGTTCGGATCAATCTGATCCTGATGATGCGGGTGCGGGTGATGCTGGTGATGATGATGATGATGATGCTGGGGTTGTCCGAAAGACTCTCCATGCACCTCTTGACCGAGGGTCTGCATCAGGTTCTGCTCCGCCGTCTGGTCAAAAGCGGAATGAGCATTCGGGTCATGGGTCAATCCAGGGGAGGCAGACATGGCATCGTGTCCGTGACCCAGACCAACTGGCTGAGCATGGGCGCCGGCAAGAGCCATCATACCCTTGATGCCTTCCACATGAGCCTTGTCTTCCTCGCCCTGCTTCTTCTGCCGCTCGCGGGCTTCCCGCTTGGCAGCCTGGGCTGGGGCGCGAGTCTTCAATTCACCCGTGACGAACTTCAGGTAGTAGGGCACCTCGATGCCACTCTTAAGGAAGAACAGCTTCAAGTTGCGAGCCTTGTCTTTGAGCTGGACTTGGTTACGATCTTTCAGGGCTTCACTTATGGTTCCTCCAGGGCCAAACATGGCGAGGATCTGACTCCAGTGAGGTCCCTTGACGCGATCCAACCCTGCCATCAACGCATTCTCCTCTTCAGTAGTCCAGGGACGACGCTGGCTAGGTAATCCGGACTTGCGGCTGCTAGGCGATGACTTGGCAGATGCTGCCATGCGAGCCCGCTCGTAGAGGACCTGGGTGGGTTGCGATTGAGAATAATGTGGTATCCCGGGCATGTATCCGTGATTGGCAGCAGCCGAGTTGGGTCGCGGAATCGATGCGGGGGTCACATGGCTGTATTGCTGGAAATTGGCCTGGAGAGGGCTTGGCTGGAATGTGAGCTGGCTGGGCGGGTGCTGGTAGCCAGACGGCGCTGGACTGTGATGGTAAGGTTGCTGGTGAGTCTGCTGGTGTGGCATCTGACTCGTCGGCTGAGCAGCAGAGTACCCATGCAAGATCTGACCGCCCTGCGGCTGTGCGTGCTGAGGAACCTGCTGTTGCGGCATCTGCTGGGGCTGGTGAATTGTGTGTTGCTGATGGTGCTGCTGGGGCTGAGGTTGCTGGGGCTGGTGCACCTGATGTGGCTGTTGTTGGTTCTGCTGAGATTGCTGTTGCTGGTACTGCTGCTGCTGTTGAGAGCGCCTTAATCCGTGGCCTTGAAGAGCAATCTGCGCCGCACGCGCCGCACGAGCAACAAGATCGCCATGCATGTTACGGTCGACGGGAACATCTGGTGGCTGCGACGAGACCGGGAACTGGCCTTGAAGGGGGGCGCTGGGAGGTTCCTGAGATTCTCCATTCGATGAGGATGGCTGGCGACCCTTTGTGATCTTTTTCGTCTGGCTCGCCGTTAGCACACTGGATATTCAAAGTAGGCAGGGGGGAGTCAGACCTGTTGGTTGCTGATAGTGTCAAAATTCTTGGTGATGTAAGAGCTCAGGTCCCGGAGGAAGTCTTCCCAATGGTATTTGTCTGGCAAAGCTTTCATGGCTTCCTCGTTGTTGACGTCGCTAAGTAGAATGTCACGGCGCGATCCGGCGCGCTTGACAAAGTCGGCCTCGCTGGGAGCCAGCTGGCGAGTTCCTGAGCGGCGGTCCAGGAGCTGTTGCTCCAGGTCATCTGGGAAGAGATCATATAGCAATTCTGTTCGGGTTCGCTCTGAATTGTTCATGGATGCAATGAATGCCTGAGTCTTGAGTTCCAGGAACAAAGCACCTTGCACCTTGAGAAGACGACCGCCTTCGGGGACAAACACATCCAGGAAGTTGTCGTTGAGCTCAGAAAATCCAATCTCCTGTGTGCCAAAGATGCTGGAGACGAAGGACGCCAGGTTCGCCTTTCGAATGATATCAACTTGCGACGGCTCGGTAAGCTCCAGTTCAGTCGGAGACAGAAAAGACTTCTTGGTGGAGTAGACCTTCTTCGTGTGGTCAAACAGCGAGCGCATGGTTGCGTAGGCTTGGCCACTCTCCGTCTCCGGCTCGGAAACGAATGAGGTGATTTCTTGGTACGAAGACTTAGCAAGCAAAGAGAGGATTTGGGTAGACTATATGAGGGTATTTTGTCAGCTGTTTTCGTCGTTGAATTTTTAGGTACTCTCAAACACTGTTTCACATACCAAGTTGTCCAAAATAGGCAAACTCTGACTCTTCAGGTGTGAGTTGGCCTTGACGAAAACCATGCCTTTCGGGGCCGGACTTGTGGTGTCCGCCAGCTGTTGCTGACCGATCACAACTTGTTCCTCCACACGTTCGGCGTGATTCATAATGCTCGAGATCACAGTGGCCATGTCCGAATCAATATCGGCAGTCGCCTCGGGCGCAACTGCGGTGTCCGTTGCCGTGCCATCGAGTTGAGTGCCATCGAGTTGAGCACCATCGAGTTGAGCACCATCGAGTTGAGCACCATCGAGTTGAGCGCTGTCGAGTTGAGCGCTATCGAGTTGAGTCGGGGTGTCTTCTGGATGTTCCACCGTGTCCACAATGCTGGGGCCCAACGCAGATGCTAGTTCTTGTTCGATCTGATTTCCAGGAACTTGGTCTGCTGTCAATTCACTGGGGTGTGGTGGCAAGACGAGGTCGGTCGGCTCGGATTCGAGACGACGTTTTTTGGAAGCCCGGGGCGACACCGAGCCGTCCTCTTCCTCGAGGGGATGCGACAATTTGGGAGTCACTTAAGCGGCGAAGAAGTTAGCAACATAGCAAGATAGTTGAGCAGTAGCACTGTGTAGTCTTGTGAAGTCCAAAGCCATGCAATGATTGTTTAGATCGGATTGGGTTGGGTTCAGAGCAAGCAGCAAACGGGGTAGAATCGCCTCCTTCTCAGGTCGCCCCCAGCACAACTCACCATGGCTGTCAGTCTCGGTCGGGAGCGGGGGGAGTTCAGAGGTTAAAGAATCCTCAACTTTGGGGCCTGTTGCAGTTATGTCGGCCATGATAGGGACGATTCCCGATGGGAGGGAGATGCCTGTCCTTTCCAAGAGCAGAAATGAGGGCTTAGGGGTAGGGCGCAAGCGTAGGGCTTTAGAAGTGGTTAGGTTAAGTTGAGACGGGCGGAGAGACGGAGGTTCTCCAGCTGCTGACTACTGCTCAGTCAGATTTTTCTGTCCCCCGGCCGGAATCCGGCCTGCTTCTCTTTTGGGTCACCAACCTTAACTAAGGGGAGCTGGGTGTTACGAGTACTAGGTAATAGGCGACTACAGTACACTTCGAGTTATTCACTACTATGTGTTTCACCTTCACCCTATCTTAATGATTCTTATCATCCCCCTCTCCAGTTACTAGGTACTAACGTTATACTGTATTCCTGCATACTACTCCGTACTTAGTTACTTCCTAGGCTAGTCTTCAGGCCGTCAGTTGCCAAACTTATAGATCCAGCGATCACCAATCCCGCTTTAGGACTTAGCGTGCCTCCTGGCTGCCTTGCTGCCTGACTGCCTGACTGCCTGAATATTTCCTTTAACACCTAGACTTGACTTCGAGTACTTATCCACAAAACAGCTTGTTGTTGACTGAGAGTCAAACCAGACTCTATCCCTCTTCGTTTGCAAGCCTTGCTTCTACTAAAATGTACCCTGTCCTCTGCTACGGCGGGGTGGTGACTCCCATGGTTGCGTCCACCTGAATGCTACCTTCCGTCTAGGCGTCATCGACTCATCAACTCGGGCATGTAGTCTGCTGCGAAGTTTCACCGGAGTCCTCCAGGCCAATTGAAGACCCTTTCCAGCATGAGCAGACTAATAGGTCTTGAAAATTTTCGTGGCTACGATATTGTCATGTTACGAAGTGTACATCGCGTCATTCAAGCTCGTTAAAGTGGCAGCAATGGACATGGCAGCAAACATCCAATATTCAAAGGAGGCCATGCAAGCACTAATTGCAGCAGTTCCAGTACTAATTTCACTTGCGAGACTCCTATAGTGGTTGGCACGGCTTTCCAATGAATCTAGAACTAGGTAACGACAGGAGCAACTCATTGCATCAACATCGGAACCATGGAAATGAGGGCCGAAGGTCAAGACAGGACGAAGGTCAGGCAGACTTATCAGGTTAAATAGTACACTGGAGGATACTGTTCCATCATGACGACTATTCCAGGTTCCCAGCATATATGGTGGAGTTCTCCCAGCCCCGTCTCGTTTCTTTCGGTTCTGTCAGTTGGAGTCTTGGAGTGACCAAAGCATCAATCCTTTGAACAATATACACTACTAGACTCATTCAAACTCCCAGCCTGAAAGATGCGGTCCTCACGCCAAATCCTCCTGGCTCTGGCTACTGCAGTGCTGCAAGCCACTACTCCAGTATCGGCACAAAACCTGAAAGAACAGGTCTGGGCTGTCTTTGCCTATACACTACACGGAGACAGCGTCCCGACAGCGCTGCCCCGTGAGAGTGTCGTGACGCCCTATGGCGCCAGTGAGCTGTACACTGCTGGATCGGCCTTCCGTGATCGATATATTGCGATTCATTCGACGGACGTTAGTCCCAGTACAAGAATCGAACGGATTTCCTCCTATGTACTTGCAGACGAAGACATCGATATCTTGGCCACCACGGACCCCTCTGTGATTGCATCCGCCCAGGCCTTCATGCAGGGACTTTATCCGGCGTTGAATGAGACATACGATGCTCAATTCTTTGATCCCATTTTCCTCATGTCGAATGGCACCGTGACTACGGGACCTTTGGGCGGATATCAGTATTCCCGCGTCGTTAGTGCGAGCCTCGACGATCCCCAGTCCGTGACCGTTGCAGGCCACCAGAACTGCATGTTGCATCAGACTGCCGACCTTGAGTACCGGAATAGCCCGGAGACCCAAGACCTGGTTCAGACATCGGGGGCGTTCTACAACCGCCTGTATGAGTTCTCCTTGAGAGACACATTCGATCGCTCATCAGCCAATTACCTCAACGCTGTTTCCATATCCGAATTCCTCCAGTACCAGTACTTGCACAATGAATCGCTCCTCCGCAGCCTGAACGAAGACGACATTAAGCTCGCCAACTGGTACGCAGACCAGTACACCTTTGCGACTAATGGCAATACCACAGCCTCCAGTCCCATCCAGAGCGGGAATGTTCGCGCTGTGGCGGGCCGATCCATGGCGTCTCGTGTCTTGGATGCCTTCAACACCAACATCTACAACCGGGGTGACAGCAGCAAATTGACCTTCCTCTTCGGCAACGCCGAGCCGGCGGTGGCTCTCGCATCCCTCCTACGACTCCCATCCCCGCAGCAGTCAAACTTTTACTCGCGACCTGCGCTCGGTGCATCGATCATCTTCGAGCTCTTTAGTCTCGAGAGCGACTCCTACCCAACCTACCCCGATCCATCTCAACTGTACGTGCGGTTCCTCTTGCGCAACGGAACCGACGACGAGGCAGAGTTCCATCCCTATCCTCTGTTCGGACTCAGCCCCAGCAACACGGATGTCTTGTACTCGGAGTTTGAGGAGGAATTGACCAAATTCGCCCTAAACTCCACCGAAGCGTGGTGTCTCCAGTGCGGCGCCAGTTCGGCGGTGTTCTGTCCCGGGATTCTGGAGGAGGCCGACGATGCTGATGCATCATCGGCTCAGAAGGGTAACAAGAACAACATCAGTATAACACCTGGCGTGGCAGGCGTCATTGGCGCTATTGTTACCCTTGTTGTGATTGGTATGGTTGCCGCAGCTGGGTTCTTGTTCTTTGGCATTCGAATGAATCGACGGTACAAGTCGAACCTCACCGACATCAAGGGAGGAATCAAGTTGGCCAGTGATTCGAACCTAGCTCTGCGGGAGAATATGTGATCAAAATGGTTTGAGCTGGTTGAGATTTTGTTTACTAGTACTCAAGCTTGGGTTGTTTTCCTGGGTCGGGCGTTATGGTATGGACAAGAAGTGAAGATACAAGCAATCGTTGATGTTGGTTTACAGAGGGCATAATTAATAATTACTAATAACTAGATTAACTAAAAACCATGATACTAGTCTCTATGTTACTTAAAAATCGAGGTTCTCCGTCCGACCGTTGTCAATGTTAGGATGTCAGTTTCATGTTTACTATCATGACTGCAGCAATAGATTATCAGTATACTATACAGCATTACAAAGATAGATTTGATTTTTATCTCTATAATAGAATCACTTGAGTGCTACTAAGCATCAGCTTCGAAGTAAGAAAAGGCCAGCGGGAAGACACATATACTCCATCCTACCAGTTTGTCTTAGTTTTCGTATCAGCTCTATGTTGTGAGCTATAGCATACTCACATTGGCAGTTTGTTATAGGGCGGTAGCCAACACTTTCTCAAAAAAGACAAAAGACTTGTCGAAAGCTTGTCGTTGTGGATGAAAAGTAGACCTCAACATAGCTGTCTGTCACTAGTACGCGAGAGCTAGGTCGCACCTGTTGTCTCAGGCTCTCTGCTATCACAGGGACATTCAGATCTCAATCCTTTGATTATAACCTTCCTAACATCGGCCCTAAGCTCTTGAGTTATTTCTAACCGCACAATTGACGGACGCGCTTTCCATTCGTAGAGAATCGGTGTTCTGGCAGGTGCGTATCTTACAACAACCTCAACCTCCAATCTTAATCATATCACCTACCCTGATCAATATCTCTGAGTCTTGCCCCTTCCTCTGGTTCTAGCCCATAACACTTGGTTTGAAACGCGTCAGAGCCCATTCATTGTCGAGATTCAACCTTACTACTTACCTTAATTTCTGTTCTATTCCTCTCCTATCCTCTTTTATCCTAGCCGCCATGGCTAGATATGATATCTCTGCTCTTATGGGCATGCGCTCCAATGCACGGATCGATGTCAACAGATTCAGTGAGGTTGGCAGTACGTCCTTCTCGCGTGCTGGAGCAAGAGAGATACCCCAGGAACCATGGCCACCCGTGAATTGGACTGACCCTGTCCGACCTTATGTAGGCAACTTGCTCCGCCAACATAGTACGAGCGTGTTGTCCGAACAATCCATCAACCGGTCAAGGAACGTGTCGAATTTCTCGCGTCAGAGTGAAAGAACAACTGCACCCCCCGAGCCTCCTTTGAGATCTACCTCACGTCAGCCAAGTGATCCACCGTGCAGCCATCGTGTACAGAACAACTCCGGCTTCGCGCAGTTTCTCAAGGAACACACATCCCCAAAGCATCAACGCGTCACAGCCGGGGGTCGAATCGTGCCGATGGAGGCACCCCCAAAGATGAAGCTGCCTACGTACCAGCAGCAGCAGAAAGTCGGCGACGACAGAAAATGCTCGGTTGTATCTGCAGCAGAGAATCAGAATAATCTCGAGCAGGAAACTATACCTATCAGGGACACGGCTAATGGGATCGGAACTTCCAAACATGGTTCCCAGTCTGCTGGTGTATCTGTGAATTGCATCTTTCCCCCATATGGGAGCTTTGATCCGTACCTGCAGACTTTGGGACAAACAACAAATCTTCTCTCTGCTGCAGGGCCTTCAGGATTGCTCCCTTCGCTCGCTATGCCATGGCCGACCGATACCCAACAGCTTCTGGAACCTGAGATGCAGGCCCCGGAGTATCATATACCTGCTGCGCCGGAGTTTCCGATGTTGAACTATGCAAGCCCATGTATCTGGCAGCCGACTCTGTATGATGTTCTGAGCACCCCCAATCCATTACCCACTTTTGCTCCCTCAATCCAGCCGCATCCGACAATTTCAACGGCGTCCGACTTCTCGGCGGGCAGCATGGCTAGTAGTGGAGGTGCTACGCCCTTAATGAGCCCGTTTTACTCAGGATATGGCATGTCCTGTACGCCTACAGCAATTCATTGGCATCAGCTCATCAACGGACAAGCGGGAATGCAGCCTCAGCAAGTTACACCTGCGGTGATGCCGACTCCCCTGTACCAGAAGTCCCTCGATGATGCCACCAAAGAGCATGACAACCTATCGGCTCAACTTGCACGCTTAGACAGATACATGGCGATGCACACCTGGGATCTAGACCCTCAAACTAAGAAGCTGTTGGTCGAGCAACGTGTCGGTCTGGTGAAAGAATTGGATACAGTCCGCATTTACAGAGAGCATCTCGAATATGCCTCTGCAAAGATCAGAATGAACACGTTGGGCAGCCATGCTGGCATGTCCGAATCAGCACCTCCTACTGGAATGTATCTTGCTGGCAATGCTGCGAATCATCCAGCTTTATTCGGACAAGCCATATGCACTTCCAGCTCAGATAGTACAGTCCCAACGTTCGCTATGCCGTCCCTGGCATCAGCATTTCCACCACAGCTGTCCAGTCACGAGACAGGGAGTTCAACACTAATGCCATTGATGCCATGGCAAGGGTCGACTGATTATTTTGGTCATCTTCCAGGATCGGTGCTGCAAGAGGCAGATACGAGCAACAAAGCACTCACGCAGTCACAGAGACTGAAACCGAAGAGGCCAATCTCTATCAAGGTACCGCCCGTGGACCCTAAGAATGATACTACATCCGGCAACAAAGCACAAGATGCGAAAGCCAATGAGACTTCTTGGACAACATGTACCAAGGATCTGCCTCCAGAGGTTCTGCAGGTATATCGTCAGATGGGAAAGATCGCCCGGCAAGGTGACACCCTTGACTGTCTGCTTCAGGACTTAAAATTAGCCGCCGAGCAGCCCATCAAGCAGACCTCCGATGGGTACTATCGTCCAAGCTCGTCGGCTACCAATGCCATTGGGGAACAGAGAGTGACGACTCAATTGAGCGAGAAAGCTGGTGCTTTCAAATCCAAGTCCGCTGATTTTTCAGGGCCAGACTACTTGAGGCAGCGTTCTAGCCGGGACTCCCGCAGGTATCGCAATCGGCCTCGGAGCCATGAAGACGTGGAGAAGAGTCATTTTGTTGCTGTGGAGGAAGAAGATGCCCGCTCCATGCTTTCCTATGTCTCGACCACAGACTCGTGGGCCACTGTGCATGAAAAAGAGTAAGCTTCAGTCTCCGTTCCCAGTGATTAATCTCGAGGGTCTAAGTCAACGCGTAGCTACATTTCCCACAAAACGGAGTTTGGTCGTCAAGCGAGCACACAGAGGCAAGGCCTGTCACATGAAAGGTATGATGTTGCTGATTGAATGTGGCAGAACGCTGATGGGAATATGTTACAGGAGCGCCGGTTCTGCGAAGCGTCCTACGACCCCGTTCTTCGAGATTCCCAACTCCGTAACCCAGCTCGCCCTTATGTCTGGCTCTGGTGGTATAGGCAATCCCAGGACGGCGCACAGACGGAGCAGCCCTGCCCTTGCAGACGACCCTCTACAGTCTAGACAACGGAGCAATGTGGAGAGTGTGAAGCATTCCTTCTCGCCGCTCCTTGCACCGTGCCTGATAAAAGATCGCGGTCTGGCTGGACCAAAGACGATGGCCTTGGCAGTTCCCCAGAATGTTCATGCACATGGCATCCTGCCTCATTTTGCTCGCATGGAAGATGTGCCTAGAAAGAGCAGGGCGGCTCCGATGACTGGACATGAGGTTAACAGCGAGTGGCAGCCGCATCAACTCCATGATCACAAACAGAAAGACAATCTGTGGTACAAGCCAGATAGAGGGATGGGAACCTAGCGCTGAAGAATGTTGCTTCAGTGGAGGCCTGGACTAGGCGCTCTACTTGATTCATCTTTCCTGGAGATTGCAGTGTTGATTTGGGTGAAGTTGCTCCTTTGTTACGACCTAGTGAGACATGGTCGAAGACAGTGGCTGGGGGCGGATTAGCGGTGAGGTTGAAGTTGAAACTGTTTCATGCCCACAGCCAGTCTTGGAGGTGGAGGTTTGGCGTCTGCTCTTCTTGTATGATTTTAACATTGTATGACTGGTATCTGCAAAAGGCCCTCCGATTAGGTATGGCATGTTTAATTTGTTCCACTGCTTCGAGCAAATCCGTCGTCATGAGCTGAAGATTCATAATGCAAGCGTGATTGCTCGATTTTACGTGGTTGCGATTGAGCGATTGACACTGGAGCCTGGAGGTATGCTTCCCGGTGGTACTCCGTATGATATGTCAAGTTCAAGGGCTCATGTGAGGTTTACGGAGTACTCCGTACAGAAAGTGGATTTATTTCCAGCTCAGAATGTAGCAGTCGTAGGAGATGTCATTTTTTCCGATGACGAGATCGACAATATGGATTCCAACATCGGAATCTTAGGTGATCCTACCGATACTCCGCAGAGTACTAATAATCCCAAGTTATGGGCTGGGAGGGCCGAGAAGTTCCTCCCTTGCGTAAGGCGGTGCGTTTTTTTTTTTTTTTGCACTCCTTCTTCCCCCCACACCCCAAGGAACTTATTCCAAGGAACTATGAACGAAACGAACCCCGCAACCGAAAAAAAAGAAGAAAAGAATAGGAACCAGAACTGGTCGGTCGGATTTACAGGACCGGAATTTACGAATTTCTAGACTAGGTGCGACAGAGTTATTTACGATCATCCATCGAGACGTGACGAGACGGACCAGATAGGGTAGATAGGTAGATAGGGCCTGGGCAAGGCGAGCTGGAGGAGTGAAACGCGCCCTGTAAATGGGTTTCATGCCTTTTTTCGGTTGTTTTTTTTTTTTCTCTTATGTGTGTTGATTCGGGCTGAAAGGAAAGTCTTATGTGGATTGTGGATGAGAGAAGCGTAAGGTAGTCTTATGGCGGTAGTGGTTAATTCGTAAGGGCCAAAAAATAAATAATAATAAACAAATAAATAAATCGAACCCGGCTGGCTGGCAGGCAGGCAGGTAGGCGATGTTCAGCCAAGAAAGACCGGCGGAGGAGAGTCGGATGTGTGCGGGGAGGGGGATGGATGTTCGTTCCTGGCTGGTGGCACAGTGCGCGCGATTGATTCTATGGGTTGGAATGATTGGTGTGAACGAACGGTCATCATCTGGCTCGAACCTGAGGGTGACGATGGTTCCCGTCTCCATGGCTTGACTACTAGGTACGGAGTAAAGTTATACGGCATGGAAAAGTCCAGAAGGGCTGTTCCAGTTATGGTTGGAAATCATGGCGTCTATTATTGTATGGACCAATAACTAAGGCAAAGAGGGAAAGAGGAGAGATTGGAAAGAAGTGGCAAGTGAGTGTTTACGGTGGTACTGAGTGACTATCGAAGGACAAAAGTGCATATCATATTCTTTCTCAGCATTAATGACAGGTGCTACGGATGGTTCCCTAATGGTTTGAAATGAGTTGATTGACTAATGTCACTAATGTCAAGTTGGTTTAGTTTCCAGTTGGCTCCGATAGTGGCGGTTCAAAGACTGTATGGTTACGTATGAGGATGAGTGAGTGTATCAACGCCGCCTCCAGCCGGGGCTGACTTCACTTTAGGTAAGCTAACTAACTATGGACGGACTGTTCCATCTCTTCTCTCCCTCCACCTTCTGCCTGTCTGTCTGTCTCTTCTTTCTGTCTCCACTTTTTTACTATCACTACCAACCGTTCATCCCCATTCCATCTGCTGTCTGTCTGGTCTGCCATCGTTTCTCTTGTCTCCTCTTTTGCCTCTTTCTATGCTATCTCTCTATCATCCTCCCTCTGCTCTTGTTAGTTATCCCATCCAATTCTTCCTTCCGTGATACCTCTGTTTCATCCTACTGTTCGCACCATACGGCTACAACCCCTGCTCCAATTCGTGGCTAATTTCACACATTCTTCGTCTTCGTCGCGGTCGGACTGTTGTCGACCGTGTTGTCGGGTCAAGGCTCCCCTCCCCTCCCGGCTGGAACTGGCACTGGCACTGCGTCCCCAATCCAAGTTTCCGGTGCGAAACCCGTTTAGTTCGTTCGCCCACCCACCACCCACACCCAGTGACTAGCACCGCCTTCCCTCCCTCTCTCCCCCGCGGCTTCTGGCCCGTCGCTGGGTCCTCGTCCTCCCGTCGCAACTCTTCCTCTCTCCATCTTTGTGTTCCTGTTCACTTGTTCTTGTCCACCTCCTCTCCGTTCTTATTCCATCTCGCACAACCCATCCTCTATCTGGGCCTTCTGGACCATCCGGACAAGTCCTCGGGTCCTTTCCAGGCACCAGTCTTCGGCCATGACGCAACTTTTCGCTTCCAGTCCGTCCTCGGTGACGAACGAGAAACGCGGCAACTTCCCGAGCCTGTCGCTGGCCTCCAAGAAACAACATTCAAACGATTCAAGTCACTTTCCCACCAAGATTCGAAACTTCTTCCGCATAAACAGCTCCAGCAGTAATGTCTCCCATGCTAGCCACCACAGCGGCAGCGATCGGAGTCATGAAACCAGCAACCTCTCCTCGTCACCTGGCAAACACGAATCCAAATCCACCTTCAGACAGTCCCGATTTCTCCCCACCATTGGTCGCAATCGCTCGACTACCGTCGCCAGTGAAGGAAACCCGTTAGACGAAGGCGTCTCGCCTACGGCAACCGCAAACCCATACTTCCAACACCAAGGACAGCCGTCCTTGCAGCATCGTAATGATGGATCCATTCCCTCTTCTCCACCAGACACCCCCGAGTTACAGGTCGAAGGCGTCTCCGCGGCCGAGCAAGCGACCACCGCCAACAAGGAAGAGCTGGCTCGCAAACTCCGCCGTGTCGCTTCGGCGCCCAATGCGCAGGGTCTGTTTGCCCGCGGCCAGGCTGACGAACGGCCGCAGACCGCCGAGCAGGACCAGGAGCCCTTGCCGGTGGGGTCGAGTAGTCTTGTTCCTAAAGTGACGACAATTGAGGTGTCTGAAGAGCAAGAAATCAACCTTGCTGTGCCGACACTCGGGGCTGACGGCAAGATCCCCACTCCTGGCCAGATCCGAGACTCCGTTGCATTTCGCCGAACATACAGCTCCAACTCGATTAAGGTGCGGAATGTGGAGGTCGGTCCAGGCAGCTTCGATAAGATCAAGCTGATCGGCAAGGGTGATGTGGGCAAGGTGTATTTGGTCCGGGAGAAGAAGACCAGCCGACTCTATGCTATGAAAGGTGCGCGCCTACGCGAGAAATCGCAGAGAATTTGCTGACTGACTTGACTAGTGCTGAGCAAGAAGGAAATGATCAAGCGTAACAAGATCAAGCGTGCGTTGGCGGAGCAGGAAATCTTGGCCACTAGCAATCACCCATTCATTGTCACGCTCTATCACTCTTTCCAGTCCGAGGACTATCTCTATCTCTGCATGGAGTATTGCAGTGGCGGTGAATTTTTTAGAGGTATGTCGAGTAGAGATGACCGTCAGGGCAAGGTGCTAAATGGTTGCTCTAGCTCTGCAAACTCGGCCAGGTAAATGCATCTCGGAGGACGCCGCCCGTTTCTACGCTGCGGAAGTGACTGCTGCTCTGGAGTATCTTCACCTGATGGGATTCATCTACCGCGATTTGAAACCTGAAAGTAAGTCGCCCCTCAGGATTACTGCATGGACGTGTCTCACAATGACGTATTTTAGACATTCTCCTCCATCAGTCAGGCCACATCATGTTGTCTGACTTCGATTTGTCCAAGCAGTCCGGACCGGGCGGTGCACCTACCATGATTCCGGCCCGGAGTGGCAATTCGACAACGTCTTTACCAACCATCGACACGAAGTCATGTATTGCCGATTTTCGGACGAATTCTTTTGTGGGTACGGAAGAATATATCGCTCCAGAGGTCATCAAAGGCTGCGGACATACTAGTGCGGTCGACTGGTGGACTCTGGGCATTCTGATCTACGAGATGCTGTACGGAACGACGCCTTTCAAGGGCAAGAACAGGAATGCCACGTTTGGCAATATCCTGCGGGATGAAGTGCCTTTCCCTGAACACTCTGGGGCTCAGCAGATCTCCAAGTAAGATTGCACTGATCCTGGCTGTCATATTCTCGATGCTAACACATGCGTAGCCTTTGCAAGTCCCTGATTCGGAAGTTGCTGATCAAGGATGAGACAAAACGTCTAGGAGCTCGGGCTGGTGCCTCAGACGTCAAGACACATCCTTTCTTCCGACAGACGCAATGGGCACTCATTCGCCACATGAAGCCCCCAATGATCCCACACCAAAGCCGAGGCACAGACACCCTTAACTTCCGCAACGTCAAGGAGAGTGCCAGTGTCGACATCGGAGGCAGCCAACCGATGAAGATGAAGGGGGTCCCCATGGATTCAGGTCTGGCTACACCTAATGCCGAAGTCGCGGATCCGTTTGAAGAGTTCAACAGCGTCACTCTCCACCATGACGGGGATATGTAGAGTGATTGCACAGTGTTGCTGGGATGGATGCTCTCTGCTCCGTCTAAGGACGGCAGAGGAACGAGTTTAGGCAGACCGCGGACTGCTTGGGCTCTGTCACGACCATGACGCATTAAGACGAAGACCTATTGGAGTTCACCATTTCCGACTTTCATACAGTCATTACCCGGAGTACTGGTTCTTTTCTTCCGGGATTTAATTTATGGGGTGTTAATTGAATCATGCTGATGATCAGGTAAATAGATGGCATTTGCGTATATTATATGCATGGCCATTCTCGGGATCTTTTGCTTTCTTGCTGGATGTTGCAGCGATGTGATTTCGCCTGCCTTTTTTATTGTGGTTTTATATTGTCACCATTGCAGAAGACGGCGTTTGCGATCTAGGTTGTATCGTACCAAAACACTTTTTCCTTCCTTTGAGCCGGTCGGCGGCGGGTTGCATTGCTTGGGAAGACCCGGCCGACCTTTTTCAGTTCGCGGCTTTTGTTGCGGTACCCCAAGAGGCCCGGTGCCTTGAGGGAAATGATACATGCTACTAGTGTATGAATGAATCTATGTATCAGTGTTGGTATTGTGATTAATGTAGAGAAGGGTGGTATGTGGTGAATCTATTCTTGCTTCTGGCAGCCATATGAGCCGCGGGGCGGCAGTCACATCGTGTAGCCTGGTTTGCTACCTTTTCTAGCTCTATAAATTTATAGAAATGGTATGCCGCAGGATAGATATAGATCGCTGGATAGATAAGCCCAGTCATTTAAGGTGCCTTATGCTGAATCGGCAAATAAGTGGGGGTGGAGATGGGTAGTATAGTTTGGCTAGTTAAGGTCAACTCATCTAGATTGATTTCCCTGGACTCTTGTTGTTCCTTCCTTTATCTATAGATAGGAAGTCCGACTAGCACTGCAATATATATTAGAGGAGCTGTGGATCTTCATCATTTAGATGCCAAAGTCAGTCAGCTAGAAGGAGGTGTTTACATCTATACACCCCCGCCCCAAAGCGGTGGAAGGTTAAGCTAACTTAACCTACGGTGTTGCCATGCATGCCCGGTGTGATACAATTCTACTACCAAACCAGTTAATTCCCGCCGCCCGCCAGGCTCAATCCCCCGTCCCCGCCCAAACAAAGCAAACCATTGTTAAGCCCGAAGGACCTTCAATTCCAACCACACGACTTATAACTAAACCATTTGCTTCTCTCTCCGTACTCGACCAATTAATTCCACCTACAATCATAACTTGCAGCCTACAGCCCAAAACAATCTACACTTCATAACCCCACCGCCCAGGAAACCACCTCGCAAAAATCAAAGGATGTCCCACCTCGACGACCTCACCACCCCCACCAGCGTCAGCATCAAGGACGACCCCTCCCCCGCCGAAGAAGACCATACCAATCCGAAGACATCCACCACTACCAGCACCACCAGCAACCCCCTCCTCAACCCCTCCAACCCCCTCGTCACGGATCTAGAGCAGGAAGTCCTCGACGAGTACGCCCGGCTCCTCGGGAACGTGAATGCGGTGGGTTTTCCCTTCCTTCCTTCCTTCCCTCCCTCCTCGGCCCTACCTTGAGGCGCATAGCTCAAGCCCATGCCTATGCCCTCGATACACCCCCACCCCCACCTCCACCCCCCACTCCCCCATTCAAAAAGGAACCAAACGCTAATGAGATGAGAGGGGCAAAGCTCTCCACCAAACTCGCCGACCTCGCCGGCTCCCCCGCTTCAATGACTCTCGATGGCCTCCGCCATCTCGAACGGAAGACCGCCACCGTGTGCACGCTGCTGAAAGCGAGTGTGTATAGTATTGTGTTGCAGCAGCAGATGATCAATGAGTCGGAGGGACAGCAGCAGCAGTTTGGGCAGGGGCAGGGGCAGGAGGGGCAGGGGCTTGGGGATGCGATGGGGTATGATGAGGGGGAGCTGGGGGAGCAGGGGTATGGATATTATGATGAGGGGCATGGGCAGGGGCAGGGTGGGCAGGATGTCAGTCTTTTGGGACGGTTTTGATGTTTTGATCCTTTCTTGAAAGGGGGGAGGAGTATAGCTAGGGAGGGTTGAGTCTGTTCATGGTTTTGTGTTTGTGGGGTTTGCTGTTGGGGGGCGGAGTATGGGTTGGGTTGGGTGGTGCAATGGCTCGGAGTTTGTTTCTCGGCTTGTTGTTTGTTGTTTTTGATATACCCCTGCTTTTTTTTTAACGGGTTCGGTGCTGTGGATTGAGGATACCGACTCTCACTTCGGATGGAGACAAGGAACGGGTTATCTCAGTTCTATCATAACCGAACATAGGCTGGATACAAATACAGGTTGACTGAAGAGAGAGAGAGAGAGATACAAAGTACACCATAAGGAAAAACCATTATTTACACCACCGCCATGGCGCAACCAGAAACCGGCAAATGCGAGAAACAAATCAAAACACCCGTCCAGAGTAGTACACCTTGCGCACATCGACCATCTTCTTCCCCCGGGCACGGGCAACATCCTCCGGGTTACGCTGCGCCAAGAGCGCCTCGTAGGCGGCCTTCACGGTGTTCATCTTGTTTCGGGACCGGTTGACCCGAGCAGCGAGATCGGAGATACCGGCGGCAATACACATCTCGTAGATGAGGGATTGGCAGCGAAGTCCAAAGCCTAGTTCCGTGTTAGCACATGACACAAATACAGGGGGGGGCGGAGAAAACATACCCGGAGGACGAGTCATCAACTTCAGATCCATAGCACCCACCTTGGCCGTCACGTCGCCGTAGATGGTGCGCTGCTCGTATCGCAGAATGGGCCGCATGTTCCGGATCGCACGGTACTTCGCTTGCTCGATAGCATCGGCGGCTTCGAAGGACTTGGCCTCGCCCAATCCCAGCAGGCCGTCGCGGTTGCCGGCGACCGCCAGGCAGTAGAACCGCTGGACTTTACCCAGACGCGTCTGGTTGGTGACCGAGTGGAAGACCAGCGACTTGGTGAACAGGTTCTTGATGTAGTCTTCAGAAAGGCCCGTAGACTGGATCAGTTGCGCCAACGGCGGCGAAATGCCCTCCAACGAAATGGCGGGCCGATGGACGTTTTCATCCCGGACTAACCCCTCCTTGCCCTCGTCCTCCGGCACGCGCAGCTTGTCGCCCTGCTGGAAGAAGTCCGGCGCCAGCGAAGTGTGCGGGCTACGTTCGGCCTCCTCCTTGCCCTTGGTCAGCCGGGTGGTCTCCGCCCACCGGACGAAGTGGGCCGAGTCCATGTCGTGCGGCATCTCCTGGATGTACTTGGCGAAGTCCTGCATGAAGTCCTCCGTGTTCTTCAACTTCTGGTTGGGGTCCGCGTTGCTCTCCGGGCCCCGCACGTGCTTGTCGACTCCCGGCTCGACGTGCGAGAAGTCGTCCAGGTACTTCAGCCGCATCGGATCCGTGCGAACGGCGAACTGCTCCGCGAAGTCCTTGGGGTCGATCGTCGCCTCGCCGGCCTCGATCGCCGCCATTTGCGCCGCGCTGTACACCTCCCGCAGCTGGGCCAGCTCCTCCTCCGTGTACGGCCGCAGGCTCTCCGGCTTCATATTCCGCGTGATCTCCTGCAGCCTCTGCTTGACGACCGCCTCCTTCTTCGTCTTCGGGGTCTCGGCAGCAACGGGGACGGCAGGGTCTGTTGGCTTCTGGTCGTTAAGGCGGAAGGAAGAAGGGTGGAATTGGCGACGAGGGACGCGAGGAGCCGCCGAGGCTGCTCGCGTGAAGTTGCATAGCATGCATCGGGCGGGACGAGTGAAACTCATGGTGGACGGTGAGAAGAGAAAGAAAGCTCTCTGGCCAGCAGAGGCCAATTGAGAGCTTTAGATAGTGGGTGGGTGGGTGGGGAGAGGGGGGGGGAGGAGGAGTTGAGAAGGTGGTAGCTGGAGGCAAGTCCGCGGTGACTGAAGGGGAATTGAAGATTGAGAGAGAGACTGGAGAGAAACAGAAACTCCGGCGAAATTCTCAGCGGGCCGAATCCAACCAATCCGCGCCCGCCTTTTCCTGCTCACTCACTTTTTTTCCCTTTTCCCATTTCCAATACTTACCTTTCCCCAACTTCTACAATTTCCCACTTTTCCACAACTGCTGCCCTCTCCCGCGAATTTCTTTGAACATCCTTTCACAGTGGGCTTGCTGATCGACGTGGGAAATCTCAGGATCTATAGATGTTTGCATTGCGGTCCTTGCGCCTGCTCTCACCCAGACTCCCGTCTCAGTTCACCCTCCGGACTCCCCGTCTGATCCACACTGGTCTTTCTGCAGATATCAATCGACGATTGGACTTCGTGGTTCAAAGAATGCAGGAACCACCCAAGAAACCCGCCAACCCGCCCAAGAAGCGCAAGCAGCAGCTCCGCGATGAGAAGCGTCAAGGCTTCGACGAGGTCCTCCAGGCCGATATCGATGCGCTCATCCGCAAACACAAGCCCGCTACGGAGGTCGAGGTCGAGGTCGAGTACCTGACCCCCCCGGAGCCAACCTTGCCCGAGCCCTTCACCGAGTTCGAAGTCCAGATCGCCGAGATATCTTCGACGGGAGATGGTCTGGCATTGTCGGAGGACCAAACCCACGTCTACGTGGTGCCTTTCAGCGTCCCCGGGGATAAAGTGCTGGTCAAGGTCGTGCGCCACTTCCCCTCGCTAAAATACAGTATTACGGACTTCGTCAAGGTTGTTGAGCCTGGCTCCCAGCGCAACGATGCCGGCATCGGCTGCCAGTACTTCGGGAAGTGCTCCGGGTGCCAGCTCCAGATGATGTCCTACGAGGACCAGCTGGCGCACAAGAAGCGCATCGTCGAGAAAGCCTTCGCCAACTTCTCCGGCCTCATCCCCGAACTGATCCCCGCCATCGGCGACACCTTCCCCTCGCCGCTGCAATACGGCTACCGCACCAAACTCACCCCCCATTTCGCCGCGCCCCCGGGCAGCTTCCGCCGCCGCAACAAGGGCGCCTCGGCCCCGCGCCACACCGAGGTCCCGCCCATCGGCTTCACCTACAAGAACCGGCGCACCGACCTGGACATCGAAGACTGCCCGCTGGGCACGGACATCGTGCGCCAGGGGCTCAAGAGCGAGCGCAAGCGCGTGGCCGAGCGGATCTCCACGTACACGCAGGGCGCGACCCTCCTGCTCCGCGAGTCCACCTCGCGCACCCCGAAGAACGAGGCCGACCGCGAGAAGAGCGAGTGGCCGCGCACCGACGACCTGAACCACATCAACGACTACTCCGAGGACCTGATCCGCACCGAGACCGACGCCTACACCGAGGAGAAGCGGTGCGTGACCAACCCCAACGCCACGACGGTCGAGTACGTCGACGACTACGTCTTCACCAACAAAGCGGGCGCCTTCTTCCAGAACAACAACTCCATCCTCACCGGCTTCACCGACTACATCCGCCAACACGCCCTGGCGCCGCCAGCACCTTCCCCCTCCTCCCCCTCAACCACCGACGAACCCCAACCCCAACCCCAACAACAAATCAAATACCTCCTCGACGCCTACTCCGGCTCCGGCCTCTTCACCATCACCCTCTCCCCGCTGTTCAAATCCAGCCTGGGCGTCGACGTCGCCGGCGACTCCATCCTCTCCGCCCGCCAGAACGCCCGCGCCAACCGCCTCCCCAACACCGGCTTCGCCGCCGCCGACGCCGCCGTCCTCTTCAAGGACGTCCCCTACCCGGCCGACCAGACCCTGCTGGTCATCGACCCGCCCCGCAAGGGCTGCAGCGACGACTTCCTCCGCCAGCTGCTTGCCTACGGGCCCCGCCGCGTTGTCTACGTCTCCTGCAACGTCCACACCCAGGCCCGCGACGTCGGCGTCATGGTCCAGGGCAGCGCCGAGAAGAAGATCCGCTACGAGATCGAGAGCATCCGCGGCTTTGACTTCTTCCCCCAGACCGGCCATGTTGAGGGTGTGGCGGTCCTAAATCGTGTGCCGATTCCGGAGGGTTCGACCTAGTTTTTTTCGGAAAAGAGGCTCCGATGGTGGTGGTCGTGGTGGTGGCAGGCTGGGGTTAGTGGGGAAGTGCGGGAGTGTTGACGAATTAAAAAACTTCCTTTCTTGTGTTATATACATTATATTCCAGTATTGGCGTTGTTTGGGGTTGCTTCCGGGGTTTGGGGGGGTTTGAAAATAGAGTATTTGAATTACACTTCACGATCTGGGGTCCTTTGTTTACGGAAAAATTATGTATCTGCTTGGGAAGTGATTGCATCTACATTTTACATCCATATTATATACATTGATTGCTGGAGTGAATGACTGGGTCGGAAGCCCTGCAGTCTAAGATCATATGTGTCTCTTGTGTTTTGTGTGTCGAGAACAGCCTTTCTCCGGCCGATTTACCATAGGAGCCTTTTGTTTTGTTTCACAATCATGAAGAAGAGAAAAGACTATGGACAAAGTAGAACAGAGCACGATATCTCACACGCCAATCACACAGAGAGACAGAGAAAGACACAACATCACCCTAAGCACTGCCGGGCCCACCCAGGAGAGCAAACCGACGGACGATACTGGGGCCGATCTCGTCGTACTCGGCCTTGGTGTGGCAGTAGCTGCGGAATTCGGGCGTCTGGCCCAACAAGCTACCGCCGAACCACGGGCCGTGGCGCTGTCGCTTGTGCGTGACGACCGCCACGTCCAGACCACCGCTCCGCGCGCCGCCGCTGCGGGCCTCCGAGGCGCGAATGCGGGCGTCTACCAGGTGCCGGATGTCCCGCTGTAGACGGCGGCCGAAGTCCTTGTACAGAGTGGATCCACCGGAGAGGACGATGTTCTTGTAGAGGCCTCTCCGGACGTCGATGGGAGAGGACTGGATCACGCCGTCGACGACGTTGGGCAAGGGCGTCAGGAAGTCGGAGGAGTAGATTTCCGGGTTGAAGAAGATCTCGGGGGCCAGGAAGCGCTCGTAGCCGACGTCGATGCTCACACTCCGGCCGTTGGGGGCGGTCACGGTGTGTTTGAGGAAGCGGTCGGGCTCCCGGTCGTAGCGCGCGAACTCCTTCACAATGTCGGGGCACACGTAGCAGTATTCCTCCTTGACCTTCTCGGCGGTCTTCAAGCTGCTGTCCGGCTCACCGCGGTCACGGAGCAGACTCTGGACGAAGTAGGTGATATCGCGACCGGCGATGGGGATGCTCTTAATCGAGGAACCGATGACGTAGCCCTCCGCGACGGGGATAACATGCGTGACACCATCACCCGAGTCGATGACGGTTCCGGTCAGCGATCGATCGGTGACCTTCGACGAGGTCCAGGAGGCAGCGAGAGCCAGCACGGCTTGGACGGCGATGTAGAGACCGGCGCAGTTGAACGACTCGAACATGATCTCGGCGGTGTTCTCACGGTTTTCGGGGGGGTTCAAGGGCTGGTGCAAGTTTGGATGTTAGTGGACTGATCTCCTGCTGTCGCATTGGCACGGGGTAGTTGGTAGCGTACGGGTTCGGTGAGGAGGAAGTAGTGGTCCTCCGGCTCCACGCGCAGGTACTTGAAGATGGAATTGGACCAGAACCGCTCCATGTGGTCCCAGTTCTCAATCTGACCATGACGGATGGGATAGTTGATCGCGTAACCGGGGCCGTTGGCCGCTGCCAGAGCCTCGTCGCCAATGAAGTAGTCCAGGTCCTCCGTACCACGCTTCGTGGACAAGTGCGAGCTTGCCCCACCACCACCACCGGCCAAAAAAGATGGCTTGTTCGCGACGGGAGGTCGGCCGGGGGCGGAGCCTGCAGCACTTCCGGCGCCCGCCTTGGTAGCAATTGCGGTGGGAAAGACGAAGGACGGCGAGTCGTTACCGGCGAAACCTGGTGACTTGTCAGCCTAGAGCTCCGTGGGGTAGGCAGTAGGCGTAGCTGGAATGATAGCGGGGGTGGAGGCTTACCAAGCTTGGAGTAACCAGTTCCGCTGAGCAGTGAAAGCCCATGGTCAGCTACAATGATATGATTGAAGAACAAAAGGGGGGGGGGGGGTTGTTGGGCGACTCACTTGTCCATGACAACGGCCGGAGTTTGGGAAGCCATGACGGATGATGTGGAGTACACGCACTCCCCCTTACTATCAGGTCGCGGACGAAAGGTGTTGGGTAGGAGGGAATTGACGGAGTGTGTCCGTAGAAAGGTAGATAAAGAGAAGCTGACCTTCCAAAAAGATCAGCAGAAGGGGAACAGCGGGGGAGGAGAAAGAAAGAGAAACAATCGGAGAATGGGGGAATCAAGATGGGGGATTGAATTGGGGGGGGGGGGAATGAATGGAGGGGAGCAGCAGGAGGAGGGAACGGACCGGGAGGGCGGGCAACACCATGGCTGGCAGAACGGCACGTGTTGGGAGTAGTTAGTGAGTACTGTACCTAGTGAGTAGTTTATCCATGCATCGATCTTTATCTTCCATCAATTCATCTCCCATGGTGTTCCTTTGCCTCTCCACCATTGGAATTTGTGTATGTCCTCTTGAACAAAATCAAAAAAAAAATAATAATCAATCGATCAATCAATCTCACTATGGATAATTCTGACAATACAAGGGAACAGCTGTCATTGAAAGCAATTGCAAAGAAGAAGTACAGTACAGTACAGACAGTACAGACAGTACAGACAGTACAGACAGTACAGACAGTACAGTCTTGAAGGGCAACTGCTGCCCCCCATAAATCGTCCTTTGCTATAAGGAAGGAACGTCTTCCATCTACTACTCCAACCACCCAACGATCATGTCTCCAACCACATCCATCTTCCTCAACTCTATCCTATACGACTCCCTAAAGTCCTCTGTCTATCAGTACTGACTGTTTATTCTTTGTCTGGTGACATGTGCTTTCTTTCTTCCATCATTCGTATACTGTATTCATAGAGAGAGACAGGTCGAACTACAACCACAACTCCACCACCCTCTGATCATTGCGGCTGCGCTCCCCCTCACGACTGCGGCTGTGCGTTCTTCTGCGGCTGTATTTCGATTCACTTTTGCTCGCTTTCATAATCGTGGCCAATTGCACAACACTTGCTTAGACCGGCGCAGTGAAGTTCAAAACACGCTCAACCTGAGGGGCGCCGTGTTCCTTTACTTTCCTGCATCCTCCAATTCTGCGCTTCTCTTAAGCTGAGGACTCTAAAACTCAGTCAATTGACCGCTGTGACTGGTGCTCAGGCATTCTGATCATCCGCCTGTCCTTACGGTCAGTGTGACACGCAAAACACCTTCCTGTCTGCCAGGTCTCCACTCAGTCAAGCCCATCACGCGGCCGCGTCTCATTCCAGCATTCATTGCGAGGCACCTTGGCTTAACCATGTCCTCCAACAAGAGTGGTGGGGCTGGTGGGGGAGGCATTGCCACCATTTATGTCCATGCCGGCGCTGGCTTCCACAGTGTGCAGAACGAACATCTACATCTGCAGGCATGTGAAAAGTAAGTTGGCAACCAATTTTCCTTCCCGCGCTTTACCTGTCTTGAAGCCATTCTAACCTGGAGCAGGGCCGCGCGATCAGGAATGGCCGTTCTGCGCAATGGTGGAACGGCTGTAGAGGCGGTCGAAATGGCCATCATGTATCTGGAGGACACTGAAATCACCAATGCTGGCTATGGCAGTAACCTGACAATTGATGGAGAGGTCGAGTGCGATGCTACGATTGTCAATCATCTCGGGCGAAGCGGCGCAGTCGGAGCTGTGTCCCGTAAGTAATCTTTCTCACTGGTTTAAGCGCCAGGCTAATGCCATTCTGCAGAAGTGAAAAATCCCATCATGGTGGCACGAAGCATCTTAAATACGTCAGGAAAGCCACTAACCCTGGCTCGTGTGCCGCCTAATTTCCTGATTGGACGAGGTGCAAGGGACTTCGCCTATGATCAGGGACTGGTGGTCCTGCCTCCTGATGCTCTCGTGGCTCCGTCTGCAAAAGAAAGATGGCGTCGCTGGCAGCAGGAGCTACAAGCCGCCGAGCACAAGGAAAGGACCAAGCTGGGGAACTATATCCCGTACCAGACTTGTTATCGCCGTCCCATTCCTGTCAACCCTGCCCAATTGGCCAACGCTTCCAGTCCTCGTCTTCCCGCTTTGCCTGCGCCCAGCGCTGTGGTTCCCGGTTACTCGGAGCCTGCAGACCCGCGTTTGACCTGTACCACTGCAAGTCTGTCCCCAGTGGAACCAACCCGCACACTTTCCGATGCCTCTGCACTTAGGGATGGCAGATACATGGATGGAGGGCCTTGCACTTCCGCTGTGGATCTCAGCGGTCCGTCGTCCGAAACCTCTGAGGCCACTGTTAGCCAGCCTGCGGAGGTGATGGACTATGTCAGCGATACTGTGGGGGCCATTGCTGTGGATAGCTGGGGCAATATTGCGGCCGGCTCGTCTTCTGGCGGCATCGGGATGAAGCACTCCGGTCGTATCGGACCTGCGGCACTCGTGGGAGTTGGCACAAGTATAATCCCTGCTGACCCCAATGATCCAGAGAAGACCAGCGTCGCAGCCGTGACTTCGGGAACTGGCGAACATATTGCGACTACGATGGCCGCGCATACGTGCGCTATGCGGATCTACTACAGCCAGAAGAAACACAACGACGGCACATTCGAGGATGTTACCGAGGAGGAAGCAATGAGCTCTATGATCGCATCCGACTTCATGGGTAACCAACTCCCACCTTTTCTACCTGATCTTGCTGACATGGCTGGTTCAGGCCATCCCGGTGTTCGTGGAAGCAAATGTCAAGCTGCGATCGGCATTGTTGCTGTCAAGAAGACTACGCATGGCGTTTACCTCTATTTCGGACACAACACTGACTCATTCGTAAGGCCTGGTCTGACCTCGATTGTTATAGACTTTCTACTAAGTGCAACAGGTTATTGCTTCGATGAGCAGCGAGGATAAACAGCCGGTGTGTGTGATGTCCCGCAACAATGGCAATGGTAGTATTGCTCAGGGCGGCCGCGCCACTCGAAGCAAACCCATGTCGCAAGCCAAGTAGTGGCACCCGGTCAAGATCGACATCTGCTTTCACCAATTACCTAGCGAACAATTACTGTTGCGCTCAGAGTGTTGACCAGTTTACAAAGTGAGTGACTTGTTTTTTATCATTTCGTCTGCCATCAAAACTTCGTGATATTATGTACCGGGTGTACAACGCTCAGTATCGCACGCTGACGCTTCCTCCCCTCGAAGTCCAGATTCTCGATCGATGCTTCGTGTCAATTTCATTATTGGGGCGACGATCCAAGTCTATTTTCGCTCATAGCTCTTCCACCAGTGAACCAGATCTGGGAAACATGGTTTGGCCTGGCACCGAGCGCTCGTTGCTTCGTCGAGTGGAGGTCAGAATGTGTTGAGCTGAGGCGGGCAACAAGAGGGAGGAACAGAGGGTATCCGTTTCCTAGTTACTATTCCCAGCCTAAGAGGCCACAGATAATACAGTAATTCCCGTTACGTGGGTTGCTCTAGATATTTCGTGCCTTGTATGCCCAGAACAGTAGCGATGTCGTGACTACCAAGAAGGACAGCCATAGCATGTCCTGGTCACCCTCACGGACCAGGTGTCGGCGTCGGTGTAGGCGTGGCCGAGGCCCCATTGCCCGGCCCACGAACCTTCTTCTTTTTCTTCTTCCGGGCGACCACCGCCGGCTTGGCCCCGTAGTCGCCCATCTCCAACACGGACCCACAGGTCAAACACTCGCCCTTCTCCAACGGCTCGCAGAAGATACTCAAACAGATCGAGCACACGAACCCGATATCCACGACGCGGCGGTGACAGAAGCACGCGGCGCGGAAATCGACATCCACGCGCGTGGGGAGGATCAGATGCCGGCGGGAGCGCTGGTCGGGCAGAAACGCCATCATCAGGTACTGGAGCAGCCCCCGGGGCTCGGCGAGGGCCATGTACACGCCCTTGGTGGCGTCGGCGGCCTGCTGCAGGAAGACGGCGTCGCCGGCCAGCTTGCACACGTCGATGGGGATCTGCAGGCGCTGGCAGGCGAAGATGGCGTTCATGATGGGGATGTACTGGTGCGCGGCGCCGGTGGCGCTGCTGACGCTGAGGATGAGGATGCGCGACTGCAGGCCGGATTCGGTGCTAGCCTTGTCCCCACCAGATGCGGCGGCGGCGGCGCCGCCTCCAGCTGTGTTGGTACTAGTGGTGGTGTTGTTGTTGTTGGCGTGAGCGTTGGGATCCGTCTCCCCGCCGTGCGCCTCGGCCCAGGCGATCGTCCGGCGGTTGATGTGGCTCAGCGCCAGCGTCAAGGCCCCCGCCATCAGGGTGGAGGTCGTCGCGGAGAGATCGTCGGCCGTGGTGCCGCCGAGTAACCGGTGCAGGTTCTGGGTGACTTGTTCTTCGACGATGCGGAAGGGGCGGTATTTGTTCATCTCGTGGGGCGGCGGGGGTCGGTTTTGCGTCTGCGGGAGCATGGGCGTGTCGCCGTCCTTGTCGCCGGGGGGTTGGTTTGGGTCAGCGGCGGCGGCGGCGGCGACCGGATACAGCCATGTGGCCTTTTGGGTGTGCGAGGCGACGACGGCGACTTCGTTGGCGTAGTTGCAGGCCAGGTGGGCGTTGAGGAAGACGAGGATGTTGGCGACGGCTGTCGAGAGGGGGAGGGCGGATTGGCTGCTTAGTTGGGCCCAGGCGTGCGGGTTGGTGTCGAGGATGACGGTTAGGAGGGAGGGGGGTCGGTCTGTTTTTTGGCTGGTGTTAGTTTGGGGGGTTGAGGGGGGGTGGAAGGGGAGATTGGATGTACCGTGGGCACTGGTTGAGTAGTGCTCTGTTGCGTCGATGGTGTTCATTTTTGGGAGTGGTGGCTGGAGGCGCGGTTCAGGGTTGGGTGGGTTGATGGATGGCTTCCTGGGAGGAAGTTGAGGTGGCTATGAGGTCCAGTTAAAGGGTGAGAGAGTTCATTGTGTTTTGCAGAGGAAAATAAGTTTATAGATAGAGGTCTTGAGTAGTGGCGGAGGAGTATAAAGCATCAAATTGATAATGATAAGCCGGAGAAATCGGGGGTACACCGCCTGCGCCGCCGCTCGGAACTAGCAGGGCAGCTCTAGTTGCTTGCCGATTCGGGAATAGTGCATCGACTGTATACTTACTGACTGGTTTGTATAGCTATCAACTTCCATTCAACTGCCACTGAGATTGGACCCTTTAGATGTGTGGAAATAGTCATTGACTTGACAAGAAGGACTTAAATTGGCTACAAAAATAGAGACTCAGATAAATGCTCACCCCTCCCCCTTGGCACCATAGTGGTCTCATCCGGGATATATAGCTCTGGCATCGTGACCTTAATGTAGATAAACAGCCTCAGTGGCGTCTCTACATCAGCTTTACAGCAACTCACAGCAGCTAGCCTCCGAGTCCCCATCCCTAAGCATCGAGAACCAACTCGAAGAAGCCACCCTGCTCCGACTCGAGAACCACAACCTCTAAATCCGCGAAGACACCTTCCACCTCGACGAACTCGGCTCGTGGGGATTATCGGTCTTGGGAGGGTTCCGTCTTGATGTCAGGGAGCATGAAAGCGAGCCGAGACCGCACGTGACGGAGAACAGGGTCAATGTTTGGGAGGTTGGGCAAGGGCTTTGGCGGGCCCGGATGGTTAGCTGTCGCTTTTCTTGCTGTTGTTTCATCATGAGGGCTGCAAGGAGTTTGCTATTTCGATGGGTGTTGTTCTTCTCTTATGGAATGGTGTTTGTTCGGAAACAAGGCGTTTACAGTTGAATTGGTCACTCTGCGGCTTTCTTTGCGCATATGGATGTGTGGGACTGGTTTATGGTTCTAGCTGTGGGAAGGAATTGCTTATCGCGAAGGCATGAGGTACCCAAGCCAATCGAGTACTTCGTATCATGCGGACAATTCTTGGAAATGTAGGTTGTATCTGCAGATTTACTACTCATATCACAAGTAGCAGGACGGATGAACTACGCCAATTTCCAATGATATCATCTCGGGCTGTTCCTCTCCCGAGGGATGTCACATTCCTACCTCAGGTAGCCCAGGTCGCATCCCCCTCCTTCGTCTCATCCAAGCATGATAACCCAGATTGAGATATACCAACCATAGTACGTTCATATACTTACACCTCAACAAAACCAACAGTCAAATCCTCTCGAACGAGCGCCATGGCCCTTGCCAACAGACTAGCAATCCTCCCCGGAGGTCTAGGTAGTTAACTACACCCGCCCACTTACCCATCCTTACTCCACCACCTCCCTCCCATCACACAATCTACAGTCACCCCCCCAAACCCAATGTACTCTACTCAACAGAACCAACCCAAACAGGCGGCCTCGGCATCAGCATCGGCCAGAAGCTCCGCCAACAAGGCGCGCAGCTAGCCATCCTCTACGCGCCCTTCGAAGCCGCCCGGCGCGACCAGCTCCTCGAAGCCGGGTACGGAGCAGCTGCTTCCCACCACCACCACCACGGAAACATCCACACCTACGAATGCGACATCACGTCGCCCGAGTCCGTGGAGTCGGCGTTCGCCAAATTGGCGGAAGAGTTGGTGACCCCATTGTCTACACGGTCACCGTTGTCCTCATCGAATCCAAGACCCTTTCCGAGTATCCTGATCAATACGGCCGGGTATGTCTCGTTGAGCGACATGGAGGCGACGCCGCCCGAGGAGACGCTGAAGCACCTGACGACCAATGTGTTGGGACCGATGTTGTGCGCGCAGGCGTTCGCGCGGCTTTACTTTGCATCTGCAAGAACGACGGGGGCCGCTACTGGAGGGCAAGATGCTTCGCGATTGACGCCGCCACCGGGAAGGATCGTGAACATCGCTTCGCAGGCGGCTCATGTGGCGTTGCCGCGCCACGGGGCTTATTGTGCCTCCAAAGCGGCGCTACTGGGCTTGACGCGGAGTATGGCGTCCGAGTGGGCGGGGCAGGGCATCACGGCCAATTCGGTATCGCCCACCGTGGCGTGGACGGAGCTGGGCAAGAAAGCTTGGGGGGAGGCTTCGGTTAAGAATGCCTTCTTGAAATCTATCCCAACGGGAAAATTTGCTCTGCCGGAGGAGGTGGCGGATGCGGTGCTGTTTCTCTGTCAGGTAAGTAGTTCGGAAGAAACGCTCTGCAGGGTGGTCAGTATCAACTAATGGCGTGGTAGGACTCGAGCGGGATGATCAATGGCGCGGACATCAGGGTCGATGGGGGCTTCACTATCCGGTAGTGACCTGAGATCGAATGGGGAAGCCGAGCGGGGGATCTACAGGTGCTGATGTGGTCGCGAAAGGGCAGGGTCGTCGCATCCAAATCGGTCTATCGCTATTTCGTGCCATCGGGACCGCGGTAGGAGTATCTAACAAGCTATGCGAAGCTTACTACTACCCACTATCCGTCCATAAAGGACAAACGTAAACGATCATCGAGTTCTAGATGGGAAAGATCTCCCAGATGCAATCTATGTGTAATTAATCGGGCCAAATGTCCAGCTGGCCGCTTGTTGAATCAGCATCGAAAGCTGGCTCAGAGAATTGCCTCCGGCTTCACGTGAAGACCGTTGTCCTTCTCCTCCGTCTGGTCCAGCACGGGAATTCTGATCGAGTCCTTGAGAGCACTAGGTGTGGGCTGCGCCAAAGGACTGGGCTGCGGTGAGACTCCCGGCGTCCCGCGTTTGCTTTCATGCTCAGTAAGTCCTTTACGGATGGCGAGGACCGAGTCCACAATGACCGCATCGATACCCTCAGCAACTTGGAGCTGTAGAAAAGTGTTAGAGAGGACGGCAGATTGGTGCGCTTTGTTGACTTACCTTGACGTTGGCCGGGTCATTGTTGATCGCTCCATACGACACACACACCAATCCAGACTCCTTTACCACTCGAACGAGTCGAGGGCACAGAACAAGAGCCTCAGCCTGTGAGACAACACCGAGCAGGTTCCATCGGGATGCAAAGCGGATTGCTTCCTGCAGACTGCTAGCACGAATGTCGCCAACAGGAGACGCTCCGGAGTCCGACAAGAAGAGCACGGGAATAGAGGGTTGTTTGAAAGCAAGCAGCAAGCAGACGTCTGGGTTGAAGCTGGAGAAGATCATGTTGCGTCCCTGACCCATGTCGTAGGCCTTAGTAAGGACAGTATCCACAAAAGAATTCAACTCCACTGCATACGTGTCCATCTCCTCCTCCTCGCTTTCGTGGAGCATGGGATATTCTGGTGGACGTGGTCAGTGTCTCGTGTGTATGTTCTTTGACCGGAAGGATACTCACTCAGCTCGATGTTAAATCCAACGGATTGAGGGAGCTTCTTGAACAATTCTTCCAATGTGGCGAAAGGCGCTTGAATATGGTTGCCACGACTGTTACCTTTGAAGCCCTTCTTTTTGAAGTCACGGGTGTGCTTGATCTTCTCGTTCAGCTCGGATGGGTCATATTCCGAGCCACCAACAGACATCGACCGCTGGCGAGGATTGAAGTAACCCTTGTCATTGCCGAAAACGTCTGGAGTCTGTGGTGGCGAGCCAGGACGACGGGCTGGTTTATTGTCTCCCACCTGGAGGAATTGTTCTAGCGTGAGAGTGTGGACAGGAGCATCGATTCCCGTCTCGCTGACAAGAAAATCATGGTAAATGACAGGTACATGGTCCTTTGTCAGCTGGACGTCGAATTCGACGTAGGAGGCGCCCAGATTAGCAGCAGCGATGAATGACTGCACAGTGTTCTCGCCAAGCTGTAATGAGTTGCGGCTGGCAAAGTTTTTACCAAGACCACGATGCCCAATCACCATAGTGGAGCTCATACTCTTCCAGTACGTTCGGTCCCCAGTGATTGTCATGTTGGGATGCTTAAATGGCGTAATGATTAGGAAATTGAATGTGACCGAGCCGATCACCTCTAGTGTGTTTGCTGCAACAATAGGGACTGTAGAGTCGCCTTTGAGGTTGATGCGGTGGGATCCAAGTGTGGGCTTGATGCTCGAAAGCAAGGCAACACCCCGTCCAACAATCTTGTCCTTAGAGCCGGCGTAGGTAGGAACTAGATCAAACAGGAGCCTGACTTTGGAAGCATCTTTGGCGTGAAAAACGATGGGCTCAGTCGAAATGTTGTCCTGAACAGGAAGATCAATAATCTCAGGTTCTCCTCGAGCCCCGCTAGCCGAAACGACAATCGACAAAGCAGTGTCGAGCTGGGTGGAATGAGCGCTCTCCATGGGGATTCGGTCAAGATTGACAGCCTCGATGGAGCTTCGCATGTCCATAGTGCCCAGGCTGACCAGAACCATGGACTCATCCGTGAGATACCGATGGCCAAAAGTCTTGATAGGCTCTGCATTGCGCAACGAGGTATTGCTGGAAGGTGCGTTAGACCGCCTGTCAGACAAAGAAGATGGTGGAGGAGATGGTGGAGCGGACGAGACGGTTGGAACGGGAATGACGGGCTCCGCTTCACTGATCTCGGGAGGTGGTGTGACTTTGGCAAGGCATCGAGCGATATCGAGATGGCCTCTCAAGGCCGCATGCTCCTTGGCAGTCCAACCGGAAGAGTCAAGCCTTTCGAGTTCGGCGCCTGCTTCGATCAGCAGTTCCACAACTCTCAAAGCTCCATCAACGCAAGCGATGAACAGTGGAGTCCACCCATACGTCTTCTCAGCGAGTTCCGTGTCGGCCTTCTGTTCTGCATTACCCTGCAGCAGAATTTCCGCGCATTCATGGTGACCAAAGCGGGCAGCGACATGCAGTGCGGTTTCGCCGTGGTCGTCCTGATAATTGATGTCCACTCCGGCCTCAACCAGAAGGCGTACAATGTCGACAAAGTTTGCTTTGGTCGCCAAAGCCAGCACAGCACTCGAGCGCGAGACTTGTTTGCGGATTTTGGCTTTGTCTTTATTGGCCCCATGCCAGTTTTCGGACTCAAGGAGATATTTCGTAGTCAAGGGATGGCCGCCCACAACACTCAGATGCAACGGAGCCCAGCCATCATTGTCCTGCCAACGTGGGCCATCGATTCCCTCGGTGACATCGAACATATCCCACGCCTGCAGGTGCTCAATAATGACTTCGCACACAACCTTGAATCCATATTGTGCTGCGTAGTGCAGCGGGGTACGCCCGGAGATATCCTTCGCAAGCAGGGCTTTGCGCTGGGTAGGGTGAAGCTGATCTAGTATATGCTGCAGCAGCGACACCGATGGATCAGATCTCTCCAGATGCTGAGGGAACTCGTCCTCTTTCACAACCGAACGAGGCGCTTGGAGAGTAGGCATAGCAGCAGGAGTGATGTAATTCGATGTTTCCAAGGGGAAGTCAAGGACCATGGAAGCAGACTGCTCCGAATCGTTGGTGGGTTGCGCTCGACCGATCGAGATCACCAATCGATGGATACAGTTACGTTTGTTGATATCGTCCTCTTCGTCCAGCGTGTCCATGCGGTTCAGCAACACTGTGATGCAAGCGTTCGCGCGATAGTAGATGGATCGCTGGAGGAGACTTTGAAGGACTTTGGGCCAGATGTGTTCTCCCGAGTCATCCGCAGCCACCTTCAAGGTTTCGAGTAACTCCAGTAGAACGTGAGTATCATTTTTGCGCAAAGCTTCGTCAACAGCCTGAAGCATACTGGATGGCAGATTCAGATGGGGGCGTGATCGGCCTGCCTTGAATGACAGGGACGAGTGTGTAGAGCTGGCATCATCGTTGATCTTCTGTTCCCCAAGAATCGACAAGCGGTCGTTGATGGTTTTCAGAGCATTGGTTATATCCGGATTCGACGCGAAGAGCAGTGGGTCGACTTTCGTCTCTAGGTACTTCTGCTGTGTCTGAACGCCGACTTTCTTGTCCAGCTTCTTGGTGATCTTGATGAAGCCCCGCCGATTGACTTCTCCGTACCACTGGAGTTTGCGCCATTGACCACGTAGCTCGAGCAGAGCCGCCAAAAGATCCTCAACTTCCTCGGAATCCAGGCGCTGGCGGCCATCCAGTGACGGACCGTATCGCTCTTCCAGAATCTTCATGCGGCGCGCAAAGTCGGTGTATTTCTTGTTATAGAAGTAGTTGACATCCTCGAGGTTTCGATCGAGCGCATAAAAAAATCCTAAAGTTCGAGTCAAAACAAGCGCTCAACGGCCTGGGTGAGTACAAATAGGGTCGAAGCTTACCTGTAAGATCGGCCTCATGGCCAGCCTTTACGTTCTCCGCCGAGGCTTTAATGAGCCGTTTCAAGTCCTTGTAATGAATGTAGTTCGCGCTCCATTCCGGAACAACATTGCGGGGCAAGTTGCGTCCAAATTTCATTTTCGAGAGAATTTGAGTCGAGGCCAATCGAAGCTGTTCGAGATGAGGACAGAAGGTGAAACACAAGCTCTTTTAGAACTCGCCTAGGGATTTGTTCGGCCAAGGAAGAGCAAAGCTGACGAAATGATGATCAAATGGAGAACAAGTGGATCTGGGGCAGACAAACGAAAAATGACAAGTCAAACTTCAAGCACAGAGCCATGTGTTAGTTTATCGCGGAGTCATGGTCAAGCCAGATGGGGTAGTGGGAAGAACCTGGATGGTAGGATAGTGTGTGAGAGGGAGAGATGGATGCGTTTGATAATCGAAGAAAAGAAGGCGAGAGCCACGGGTCATATACAGTTTCGAATCCTTGGGACCAGGCGACAAAGGAAAGGGACCGAGCTATCAGCACGTGCGAGAGTCGGCCAAGACATATGATCGAAGGAACCGACAAAAATATCAGTTGCTAACCCGAGTGGGGATGAAAGGAATCCACCCCGACGTAAGATGAAGAGGAATTCCGGGGCGGAATGACCATTGAACGCGGGCGGCTGGATCTGCTGCACGCCGGACGCTCCCTGATTTGCCCGCAATCTCCTCCGCAGAAAACTGGTTCGGCCCAGTGTCTATGAGTAAGAGTCTGTGAGGAATCTGATTCTTAGCAGATGGTTCCGCTCTTGGATCTGTGTGGAAAACAGGTCAAATGGCGGTAACCTTATGTTGATCAGGCCGATTCACTGACTCAATTGTGACTTGTTGGTGAGTATTCGATAATTCGATAATTCGATAAAGGGGGCCATTCTCCGGTTCTTAATCTAAGTCTCACACCAGCTGCTAGTCTGCCAATAGCGCTGACTTGCTCCCCCACCAATTCGCAAATTAAGCCTTCTAGACTGTTTGACTGTCACTGAACCGGCCATAGTGCTTAGCCCGTTGGTGGGCGACTGAGTCCGGTGACCCGCTGCTATTTAGGCCGCGGAGGCTGGCGGATTCGAGAAGCAGAAGTTCTTTCTGGCGGGATATTCCCTCGCAGCGATGATCACCGTTCCCCTCACTGTCACCTCATTCTGATTTGTGGCCAGATGCGTCGGAGGGAGGGGGAAGGGCGAGTCGTGGCCGAACATTGTCCATTCGAACCTCGAAGGGTTCGATTAACTATTTTAGTGTTGAGCCTGTGATTGCATGGTTCCAATAAAGAAGGGTTGCAATCTCCCTGAGGTTGTGACCTGAGTAACTTCGACATACTAAGTAAGAAGGAGTTGCATTTCGGGAGTTATTGTTAAGATGGAAAACTCCCGTCAAGTCAGATGACCTCCCTCCAAGCTGCAGGATTACTGTACTCTACTCTAACGTGATCTGCTCCTGCACACACTAGTGATTGACTATGCTGCAAAGTACTGTACACATTCCTCACTTCAAACTTGACTACACTTCTTGGTATTCGCTGCACCTTTGTTTCTCCTTGGAAGTTTGACAATGGCCTTGCTACCGAAGTACACTGCGCTGTCTTAGAAAGGAGCTGATACATCCTGGTCGCCTGACCTCAAGGTCAATAATTTATAGTGCTCTATTCGATCACGCGGCTTCCTTCTACAATCCGGACTATTGAAGCAAGAACATGGAGGCTTTATATGATTGTCTCAATTCCTAATCGCTTTTGTGAACCACTATAATAAGAACATCAAGTCGCTGCTCTCTTCGAGGTCTTCGGAGAAAGAGGAGGCTGGTCGCTCTGGCTACTTCGTAAGACCTCATTTTGCCATAAACCTCGCCGTGTGGCTGAATACTAGAGCTAGCTTTGACTCAAGAAGACTATAGTAAATGGAATTCCATACTTCGATATCGAACTCGAATGCCCATGGTCTGCTGCACATTTTTGTCCAAGTGATAGCGAGCCTGCATTTTGGTTGAGTGCAACAACCAGTACTGCTGGGCATGTTGGAAGTAGACGCCCGCTTTTTATGGGCCTTGGTACAGCGAGAGGTCTACAAAATGCAACCCCCCGGTTTGATAAAGGAACGTCAGAGCCATGCTTTACCTTGCCGAAAACTCTCCGATACGAATCTGTATAGCCAAGGACACCCAACAGCGTGTCCACTGGCAGACTTCAGGTGTGGTGAGTCCTAGTTAGCGAATAGGACGAACTTTTGAAGGATAGGAGGTGCAGCGTCTTGATCAGGCACTGTATGACTATGCACAATCAACATTAAGTACTCCATCAATAGTTGAATACCGCCTAGCGTGTAGGACATCATCTCGCGCCCCACCCAAACGATGCTCGCTGCCTCCACTCCTCACACCCCACGGCTAATAGTCGCCCTACATATCTCCATCCAATGGTGCCGTGGTGGCAACCAAGGACTGGCTCTGGCTACCGCGTTCAGAGATGATCACTAGCAATACGAGGTTCCTCCACTGTTTCGTGGGAACGAGGCCACAAATCAACAAAGTAGCCCCGACCATCAGCCTTCGTCCGTTTGAAGAAGCCTTGATAACGACATTTCGCCCTTCGCAGGTGGCTTGGATTTTGCGATTCAGGTGCATGATCACTGTCACTACGGCAGAAAGTCCCTCCAATCAGTGACTTTGGCCATTGAGCTGAATATCACTCGAGGATAATTGCTTCAAAGAGAGGGGTAAACTGGGCAACAGTTGGGCCCTTATGAGTTGAATGGGTCCATTGCGGTATTTAACCGACGGCTATGGGTTGAAGCTTGTGAACAGCGTGGGTATGCGGTTTGAAACGTGCGGGCTGGCCCCATCTATGCATGCCTAGCATACACAGATGTAACCTTTCAATGACTGACCTGAACACAGGTCGAGGTCGTATGCACCTCTAGAGTCTCGTATTCACTAAGGATCTCACCAGAGAAAATGATCATTTATTCAACACAAGAAGTACACGACTTCTTGCTAGGGAATGGCGCAACTGTATCGTGGATATAGTCACCTTGGACAACGAAACCTCAGCCGGAAATCTCGCGGAGATGAGTATATCACAGGTGGAGATGACTGGAGGTCCAGGGGAGATTGCACGATGTCACCCTGCCAAAACCTGCAGCCATTGTAGCCCGGGTCGCGAGGCTGGAGTACCCAGCGACCGGATTTTAGACCCATTCATGATGTCTGGCCGGAACCTCAAGTTTAGTAGGCCCCGAGAATGTGATTCAAAGCAGCGAGAAGACACAGTATGTCTGAGGTTGCAAAGCAGTAGTCTTGTCGTCCTCAAATTGTGCACTTGATTCCTCTAGCCAGAGACGAAGTAGAAGCATGAAGCTTCGCGATGTACGGATGACGAGGCTTTGCGGATGTTGAGGGTGCAACCCAAGAGCAGATACGAGTCGAGCCATGCGAATACGCACTTCCATCTTTTGTTGCGAGCAATTGCACCCTCGGGCATGTTCCGTGGTATAGATCAGCTCTGGAGGGTGGAGCAAGCACTCTATCATGTCGTCTGCAAAGCGCCCCTTTGCCCGTCTTACGTGCATACACGAGAAATGGGCTCAAGAGAGTGCGGATAGCGGTACTGATTCCGCACTATGTTTGTATAGCTTCAACCAAGTGAAATCGTGATTATGATGCCTGACAAATAATTTCTGGTTGTGGAGCTGTGGATCGTGGTACACATCGCAGTATTTCGCTGTCGTTCTTGCCGCGTCAATGAGGCTCCATGGCGCGCCAGAGTCATTTGGTGGCTGTGGCAAATTAAGCTAAAGATTCAGCCTGGTTCCTCTTAATCAATTGATGAGGTAGTGTTTGTGGTGGCATGTTGGAGCCATGAAGCCTTGCACGAGTCAGTATTGGTGAGCATCGCCCGTTGCTGATGTAACTCCCTTTCCGTGCTTACATTTGCCAAGTTTATTTCTGTGCAGGGGAGGAATGAGCTTAGGCGATACAAAGTTGTTGATTCTTCAGCAATGTCAGTATGGCGGAATCATTAGACCTGTCTCTCCATGCCTTTTGGATCAAGTCAAGAGGATCAGGGTTCCGTGTAGGTTCCAAAGGTTAATCAGCCTTCCGGGATAATTCTAGGTAGAACAGCGACAAATCCCTTCTTCCAATGGCTCTCTAAGGGCCCCACAACTCGTAGCATGCGGGGTGTAGAGAGCCTCCTTAAGTTCCAGGTTGACCGCCTTCATAGCCTCATCAAGCATCATCTACTCACTCAACCCAGTAACTCTGCGGGCATCACTTTCTGCTTCCCAGGAGTTTACCTAGTACACAAACATCAGCCACTTCGACGTCCGGTGTAGTAGCGTATGGAGATATTTCCAAATGAGGAAGATGGTAAATTCTGCCCGTTCTATGTCATTTTGTACACAGTGATAACATTGAAATAGGTTAAATGCATCTTTACTGCAACCGTCTGCAGTCAGCCTCGTCCACAATGGCGGCTACTCGGAAAATGACGCCGTCCTGAATACGAGATTCATGGCAAAATCCTGTTGATGAACCCACTATTGTTGCGAGTCAGCATTACCACATTCACCCGGGGCCTGCTCAGGTCAGGATAGTGTGAACCCACCGCGCAACTGGTCTGGTCTATAACTCTCACCTGCTAGGCAGACTTGCCCTCTCTTACTATATAAAGAGGCTTGTTTCCTCTCATAAGAAACATCAATCTACAGAGCTCATCCAGCATTGGACATCCATCTCTTACTCAACTTCGCTTTTCACACTTTGCTGCTATACTTCCTCTTTTCTGTTTACATCACACACAACAAGATGAAGCAATTCATGACCCTAAGCTTGGCCGCTTGCCTGGTGACTGGTGTTCTTACCCTCCCAACACCCGATGTTGCTTCGGTCTCTACAACTCACGGCGCCAGCGACTGGAAGCGCGGTGACAACACCGTTGAAGGTGCCAGTGACTGGAAGCGCAGTGACAACACCGTTGAAGGTGCCAGTGACTGGAAGCGCAGTGACAACACCGTTGAAGGCGCCAGCGATTGGAAGCGCGACTTTACTGTCGACGGAGCCAGCGACTGGAAGCGTGACGTTACTGTCGACGGAACGAGTGACTGGAAGCGTGCCAATACCATTGAAGGCGCCAGTGACTGGAAGCGCGGTGACAATACCGTTGATGGAGCCAGTGACTGGAGGCGCAGTGACAACACCGTTGAAGGCGCCAGCGATTGGAAGCGTGACAACATTGTTGATCGAGCCAGCGATTGGAAGCGTGACAACACTGTCGACGAAAGCGACTGGAAGCGTGACAACACTGTCGACGGAGCCAGCGACTGGTAGTCCCGAGCGCCGCAACGCAACTACACCCTGAACGCTGCCCGTCCACAATCCCCAACCTCGAACCATATCACCAGACAATCTCCATGGATCATTCCTTATACATCCATTCATCTTAGTGTATCCGCAACAATCAAGTCCATCACTCTCGCTCAAAAGACATCCCATGCAACCGCATTGTTCAAGACAAAACTCCCCAGAACATAGCAAGCACACCTGACATACATGTCAAATTTGCCCTATCCATCAGTGAGAAGCCGAAAAAAGATTCCAAGGCCGAATTTGAGTCTAGTCAGCAACAAGGTACTCCGTAGTCTAGTCAGAAAATGCACAATTGACTCCCAACGATCCTCCAAACCTAGAATTTGGCTAAAGCTACAAGGAACATCGATACCTAAAGCAAAGCACCTCATTAGAACCCATCATGATGATTCCATCTACCTCTGCCCCCTGAATAAAATCTCACTATTCACTATTCACCAATGACCATTCACCACAAACCCTTGAACCCTCCCTCCACCGCATACACCCACCTCTCCCCAAAAGTAAACAACCCCTAAAACCTAACCACTCCGGAAACCTACAAATAATAATCTAAACACCTCCAAACCAAAGGAAATAAATCAAAAAGATACGCAAAACATGCAGAATTACACAAACTGCGTCATAAGTATCCCCAAAGCAGCCCAGCCCGGCAGGGTGTGTCGAACTGACCGCGGCGGTAAGTTACAAAGTGTGTTTACCTATGTTTGCATGCGCGATTTTTCGGCCACCACCACCACCACCACCACCAAGAGCATGCTTTTATTTCCCTCAAAACCTCGCCCTCGCGCCCTCTTCCTCTCCCCCTTTCTTAGTTCCTGTTTTCTCTTGTTTTTTTTTTCTTCCTCCTCTATCTACCTTCGATTCTCCTAACGACTCCATTTCCTCTAAAAAATGAGGGCTCTCCTCCGGGTCGACTATATCGCAGACTAATTCCTGGATAAATCACCCCTACCTTACCGATATATCAATCGGCAGGGTCACCTGGAAGTCAAGCAAGAGCTCACTCAATTCTCACCGAGAGGGGTGCACGGCACCCTCAGCAATTGACCGCCTTGATCTTCATTGAAAAAGGCTTGACGCCTAAAATCAGCAGATTTTGCTATACACATTTCGCTTCGCGGGTGTTTTCCCCCATCCTCCTCTCCCTTCTCTCTCCACTTTTACCCCCACTCAAATCTCGTCATCCCCGCATTTTACTTGGGTTACTCCGCATCAACTGTTCAACTCCCTTGCCAATCACCGGAAGGTCATGATTACACTAATTGGATGGAAACATATCTCATCGAGAGAATCATTCAATAAATAGCTATCAAGGTCGTCTTGATTGGACACAAAAGAGCACATCATTCTGGTCTATGGCGGACTCAAAAAGGGACAAATGCACTCCGGAATTCCCTGACGCATTCAGAAAGTCCAGCCACCGTTCCCCACGCTCATAAGACCAGCAACATTCGTTAAACTTGAGCAACACATCATAACACCAAAATGTCAGACAGGCTGATGAACGCCGTTAAAAACCACAAACAACCGGACTGAACACCGAACCCTTGACGCGAGCTGTAATACCGCAAACTCACAACGCTTTATCGAGCAAAATAGGTATGAAACACCGAGAATAACTATGGAAACGTGAAAGCTCGTTATGAAGACAAGATGCCTATGACACCAAAGGCTTGAGAGCCTCGACACCTACTTGGAGAATAGCGGGATTCTTGGTCTTCTTCAGCAGATTTGTCAAGATGTCGATGCCCCCATTCTGCTTGATGGCATCTTTGGCCCGACGAGCAACATCACCGGTGGCAAGACAGGTCATATTCCTGATACAGGCAACACCGCGATGTACAAGCCCGTCGTCTTCTTCCTGGCACAGACCAAGCAGCAACTGAACACCACGAGGCCGTTCGAGAACTCCTGCCATCGCTGCATCAAACTCAGTAAGCATGGCGAGAGCTCCACCCGCAGCACTTTGTGTGGCGAGGTCGTCAGTATCGGTAAGGGCCAAGAGGATATGCAGACGCTGGGCAGCACGTTTCGAACCATCGGCAAACTTGACTACGCCTGATTCGCAAGTCATCAAGTTACAGACAAGCTCACATGCAGCACGCTGTACCAAGGGACTATTGGAAAGAAGGAGTTCCTCGATAACAGGCCAGGCTTGGCGAACAATGGCTTCAGGGGCGGACTCATCAGGGTGTGAGGCCAAATTCGTCAGAGCCAACAAGCTCTCAAAGACAGGAAGCAAGTCCCGCGGCTGCTCTGTGGAAAGACTGGTTGTCTCTGGAACGGAAAGCAGTGCAGTCAAAGGTCGAATCGCAGACGTGATCTGGGGGAAGCCAGAGCTTGGGAAAACAAGCGCAGGATTGACAGAGATCAAGATTCGCGCCAGCGCATGTGAAGCATTGCTGACTATCTCAGTTGGCGACGAGCCCTGCTTCACGGTCGACATACCAATCAATAGCTTGACGGCTCCCTGTTGTGCTAGAGCACCGCGAGACTTGCGATCACGCGAGAGAGAGAGAAGAATCTTGCTCATTAGAATTTGTACAGAAGGCAGGCTGGTCTTGACACAGTCGACCAGAAGGGGAACAATTCCTGCTTCGACAAGTGCGGTGCAACGAGCAATGACGTGTTGCTCTTCGTCCAAGGGATCGGGGCCGTTGCGGGCCTTGGGTGATGCTTCAGCGTATGACTTGAGCTGTGAGACTTTCTTTTGTTCCTCCGTCAGGTTGGGAAGAAACTGAGTGAGGTTCATGATGATCATGAAGCCACCATAGAGGACTGACGGAACAGTAGAGTTTTCGTGTAACACTCTAATGAGGTTCTGCACAAAGACTGGATCCTTGGCAAGCTGTTCCTTCACGGCGGGTTTGACAGAGGCATAGGCCAGACCCTCAATCACATTAGCCATGCTCTCACCCTTGCGCTTCGACATCGAGTCTTTGAACCGATCAACCAGCTCGATAACGCGGGTGTCCTCGTCCTGGAGTTTACCAATGGTTTCGGAGGGCGCGACCTGCGCGGCAGTCCGAACCTTGGCCAGGATAACCGCTGCCAACTCAGAGCTTTGGTCACTGCCATTGGTAAGAAGATGAGAGAGCCAGGTAGACAGATGTTTGAAGATCGCCTCACGACAGTCTTTGTTGACGCAGGCTGCATTTAGAAGTTCCAAGAACGATGTTTCGACTTTCCGGCTCTTCGCATCTCTGGAAGTCAGAGGAGCCAATGCAGCCAGAAAACTCTCCGAAAGAAAAAGAGCTGCGGCAGCCTCCGGAATCACAGGGAAGACGGCAGCAGTTGCAGAGAAGGCCTCAATCAGCCCATCACTGCGGCCCTTGATCACCTTGGAAGAGACCAAGTTGGAGAATCGATTCTGGCCAACTTCTTTCGAAACCTCAAGGTACTTGACTGTTGCTAAAGTAGCCTGGCTTCGCCATTCAAGGGGTAGGCGAGAATCCAGGGACGACAAAATCACATCCAGACTCTCATCATCCACCAAATCCTGCAACCTGGCCGCGTCAACGGCGAGCAGCCGCGCAATACCTTTGAGCGAGCGGCCGTCCTCATCATGACCAGACTCCATCAGCTTGGCGATGAATAGCTGGAACAGCTCACGTTCACAATGCAGACGAGCATCCTGCGATAGCCAAACGGAGGGGTCTAGAACAACGGTGTCGAGGCAAACAGCAGCTCCGTCGCCCCTTTCGTAGATCTCGTCGAAGAAGGTGGTGACGGAGATTTGAAGCTGGTTGGAGAAGTGCTGACGCACGCTTGTACTCTGGCGAACCAGACCGGAGATAATGTCGTCCTGCAGCGAGGACAAGGCATGTGGGCGTTGCGCCAAGATAAATTTGACACAATCCAGTGCGACCTCCTCGGGCGGTTTGAGGCCGTCGGTGCGCAGATAGAGGGCGGCATCTTTACCCGCGGGTTCGTCCTTCCCTGAAGTATACCGGCGGCAGAGATCTAGGAGGTGATGGCCATTTTCCTCCTCCTCTTGGATCTTCAGGAAAGCTTCCTTGACAGCTGGATGTTCGGGCGCTAAGGTGAGGGCTTCTCGAAGGTTCCGCGAAGCGGCCTGCGATAGATGACATTAGCCACCTGAAGCGGTCGCAAACTAACGCGACGACACGGTAGGCTCTCAGATACACGAAGTACGAAAGAGAATCGTGTAAGTCAGACATACCTCACGGTGACCAGCATCTATCAATTCAACAGCCTCTCGAGTCAAATGTACGGCACGTTCTTCGCTCGTTGAGTGAACCATGTCAGGCCTGGAAAGTAGATAAGGCGGGAGCGGAAGGATTAATTCGCAAGTGAGGAGAACCCGGTCGGTAGAAGGATGAAAGAATAAAACGGGACAAAGCCACGGTCGGGCGGGAGAGGAGGAGGAGGTGGGAGGAGAATAAGAAGGAGAGAAGAAGAAGAGGAGGAGAGCGCGAGTCAAGCCAGGGGAAGTACAGGAGTTGTGGTGAAAAGTGGAGGAGTGGAGATTGTTTTGCAGTACTAGTAGCAAGAAAGTGGTGAGGGTTAACCAAAGAGCAGCTGTGTCAACCCGCAGTAGTGGTGGTGATGATGGTAGAGCGACGCGACAGCCGGACAATCATCGGCGGAAGAGAAACCTTGGGAGATAAGGGATCTGACTGGGTTCTGTTCTATTGATGTGATGTCAATAAGAACAAGAGAACAAGAGAATATGAAGAAGATGGTGTGGTGGTGTGGTGGTGGTAGAGGTGGTCGTCGTGGTAGTTGTACTGTAAAAGAAAACCGAGCTGGGCTTATCTTTTCACTTTTTTTTTGTTTGACTTTTTTTTTTGCCTCCAAGGCGTGGAGGAAAAGGATAGAAAGAGTGGATTCCATTGAATGGAGACTGGAGAGGATAAGAAAAGGTGGTCCGTGTGACTGGCTTGCCTTTTCTGGCACTCACTCACTCTTTCCACCAGTTCTCCAAGTTCCACCCA